TCGTCTGCTGGACAGCCGAATCAGGTAGTTTGATGCAGGTAATGTGTGATTGTTTTCAGGCCATGTTTACACATTTCAAGTTGCGCGAAGTTGGCAAGATATAGAAAACTGAAATAAAAAAGCAAACTATTATTATTAAACTTATATATAGACTGTATATGCAGAAAAGGTAGTTTAGAATCCTATCCTAAGCTACTAGCAACTCCGGTGCTGGTAACATTCGTTTTTTAGTTACCGGTACAGAGTTAATAATGGTTCCAAGCAAGCATCGTGTCCCGGATGGTATGAAAAGCAAATTTGGAATGCCTTCAAAAGAATGGACACAAAAGTTTCATCACGTTTTTTTGGTATCCGCAATTTTACCGTATTTTATTTTGGCTATCCAAAGCAAGGGCAAAGTTTACTCTTCCATTTCAGAAATATGGTGTAGGCTAGGCTACTGCTGTATGTGATGTCATGAGTTTTCACTGTTTATTTTGTGCCTCATTGTATTCTAGTGTTAGCCATTTATTAACTCACTCATGACTTTGACATATTAATTGCTAAGTAATTTTCTATTGCATCCAGATTGTGTTTAAATATCGCTACTCTCCTAACTTTAAAAGCAAAGTTGAGGATGGAAAAGCTAGAATTTGTGCTGATAATCTCAAGGATGAAGATATTCAAAGGGCCAATAAAAAAAGTTGGATTAAGTTTGTGGCATCACCCACAAAATACTATTCTTATCACAGTTTACATGCGACACCGGAAATAAGCCTTCTAATTTGCCAATTTGACCAAAAACAATTTTCCTTTTCTTGCGCTTTCGCTGGAGTTTATTCTTTCACAATATCATCGGCAATTTCAATCCTACTCAAAAACTTGGTTGATCTCACCCTGTGTTTGGGATATGATATTGTTTCCACGAATAGTTCATGGATTCCCAGAAGTGTTCCAGAAATAGAAGATGATGACAGAATTTTCTTGAAATTAAGGTAAGATATATTTGCATTTGGTCAGATATACTTCTATTTAGTTGTATTTTTGTTGAATTTAATTTTGGTATTGTATCAATACAGATATCTCAGCTCTCAATGTGAAATAGCATATTCTTATGCTGGTACAGGACCCAACATCTGCTACACTTGTATGCGTCTCCATGTGCATGATCAAGACAGTGACAAGAGAAAATTCAGCCTTTTTACAACATCTATGATAAAAGATGAGAATGGCTTGAGGAAGGTTTTCTAAAATACCTGGATATTGGGAAGAAAAGGCATACAGTCGGCCATTAGTGGGAGAAGTTAATCGCCAGAAAATGCTGCTCAGTGATGCCACAAAAAATGGCTTGAGAATGGCATCTATTTCTATGGTTGCAATTATTTGTATTGTTTTGGACAGTGGTGCGAGCTATGTTTTACCATGGTGAATAAACCAAGACCCTTTAGAGCAGGGGTCCGCAACTACTTTTCAGCGCGATCCAAAAATTCTTCTAATTTTTTGCAACCCAAGCATTTGGAAAGCATAAAATTAGTTATCAATTTTAAGACTATTATTGACCCTATCAATTTTCTTGCATAAAATAAATGGAACTTAGCACATAAAATGAATAATAGCGTTTATTATGACTAATGCGAATTATAAGCTTTGTGCTTCGAGCACAACATGTCAATTTAATTTGGGAGAAGGTAACTCGAAGATCTTCTAGCCTTGTTCTGTATTTGTTCTCTATGTATGAAAACGTCCTTTCACATAAAAAGGTAGTTCCGAATGGCAACAGAACATTCATTGCATCAGTTAATAACTCCGGATATTCCTTTGCAGCTGAAATCCAAAATTCAACCACGACAGACTGTCTGAATGGCAAAAGTATCGGAGCGCTTCTAAAATGTTTATTATTACGTCAAAATTTGCACTTATACTGATTGGCCAATGTCACCGCAGTAAATAAGGAAGTGTATAGTTGGGGAAACATCCATAATTATAATCGGAGATTTATATAGTTGTTATACCTAAATACGCTACACAGACGCGATGCTCATAATTATGGCATAATTTAAATTGTTTTGCGACTCAGAGCGAAGTGCTTCGCAACCTAAATTTGGGTCGCGACCCCGTAGTTGCAGACCCCTGTCTCGTTTGCTGTAAGATTCAAGTGTAATTTCAACACAATACATTCAGATACTCATTTTTGTACCTAATTTCTTGGTTTGCGGCCCGCGTGGCCAATAAATTTCAAAAAGTGGCGCACGACATGTTTTGAGTTCGAGACCCCTGCTCTAGAGGCATATTTTGGTCACCAACGCGAGCGAGGTTTCCGTACTGGAAACTCCACCTTTAGTTTATATACATCAAACTCCAGATTAATAGATGTTGTAAAATCGAGTAGTAGTGTTTTTGGTTCTAATGTTGCGATTGAAAATGATTGATAAATTTCTAGAAGCTGACTTCTTTCTGCTTAAATACATGCATACGGATTTATATACAAGTACTAGTCCATTTTCTTAATTTTAGTGGCTGGCTAGTCTCTGCTTTAAATAATAGTTACCATAATGTATCCAAAATTAAATTTCATATGAATATTAATCGATGGTTTATTTGTCAAAATGCCTCCTATCAAATTGAAAAGTTTCCCCTATCTCTCGTATAATTTTATTCAAATTTGTGGAACCACATCTATGTTTTATAATTAGCTATCAATTATTGGTCTTTGCATTTGTCATTTTTTCTCTACCAAGTCTGTGTGATTCTTCATATCTAAGTCAAAATTCCTGTTCAGTTTTTTTTTTGTATTTCTTATGCTAAAAATACAAAGTAGAAATTGTTTTGTTGGCTAATTTTTATTATAGTGTAATAATGAGATTATTTGGAAAAACAATTTTTCAAACCATCGCAAAGTCCATATGATTTGGGTCCATATTTTCTTTTCGAAACTTTGTTCTGCAGTTCAGTCTTGCAATGGATATGGGTCCTTGTTCGAATAAATCTTTTCACAAGAATGGTCAGAATACTGGATTCACTGGGGCTGAAAGGGTCCATGTCAATATTTCCGATAATACGCCGTTTATCTATTACCCTTTTGCATACTTGAGACAGGAATTTGCTTTCCACAGAGATTAGGAAGAGACAAATGTTTCGGATGCTGATATGATACCGCCTCTATTGCGCTCTTCAAAGCAATTGGGAAGATCGAGTCTCGAAGCTTGGTTTTGGCACAAGAAAGCACCTTCTCCACCTGGATGCTTTATTCCACATTTTAGCAATCCCCCAGCTAGGTACTCAATCACCTTTTTGTCGCCTTTGGTTATTGACGTTTGCATGAATGGCTCAGTTACTTGAAACGCTTTTTTATAATTTTTTAATGTTTCCACAATGTGGATTATTCAATAATTAAAGAATAGATAAAATAATATAGGAATATCAATAAATAATTGTATACATTTTATATTTTTATAATTTTCGATGCTGCAGTTTTGATTATGCGTTTTAGGTCCGAATGAGAGATTTCAGAATTGTTCGAATATGGGCTATGGCTATCGCAATTTTTCAATGTATTTAGCTGTCATTTTACTTCTGGATTCTTCTCTAGAAATTTCCATCATATCCGCTATAACAACTGCCCATAGTGATGATTCCTGATTTAATGTGATGTTCAAATCATTCAATGCAGTCTGCAGTGTCTTCTTGCAATTAACACTTCCGTAGTCGATTTCTACTACAGATATGCCCCATTTTCCTTCTATCTCGTCATCAAGCTGTGAAATATATAAAATCGGGTCTAAAACAGTGCCTAAGTGCCTGAATATAGCAAAACAAATGTGATGTAAAAATACTGACCAAATTTTTAGCAAACCAAAAACGGTCTCTACTTTCACATATTAAACTATGGTACTATAACTCTTACTATTCATTCTTTCAGGATCAAAACCTATTTTAATAAGCAATCAGTACTATATAACTCATGTCATCAAAAAATTCAAGCATTTCTTCATCAGATAAATCCATTTTCATTCGAACTTTGAATACGTTTAACAGCGAGCAGCCTAAAATATACAGCAGACGACGCCGTGGTTATGAATTACCCACGCCAACACTAGATGACGCTGTGAACAACAGGTCAGTATACGGCCTTCCAGACTAGTTATATAATGGCTCTGATATAACAACGCCTTCACAAAATTGTGCCGTAGTTCCTATTTCCGTGGCATGGTTCTTCACCAAATAAGTGCCTGCCATGTGCCATGTCGACTCCAAAGTGAATATAAAGTTATAGTCACTTTGGGTTGACTCGACTGAGCTGTCTAGGCCTACCGGTATTCCATTGAGGTGTACCGTTTTCAGTTCCCGAATCCCGGGTCGCTGAATTCGGAAGCTTCACAGAGGTCTGCTTAATACAGTAATAGCTTTGTTCTACAGTAGCAAGGCTTTGGATAATGAGACTGAGCCATGGGGTCAAAATATTTAGTTTCTATAAGTAGGACATACCATATACCGGTACCGTACCGGTACAGATATTGGGTCTCATGTAGTTTCTTACCTAACATACTTCTAGGGGGCGTAGCATGAAACAACACTTGGGACTGACTTAGGACTAAAAATTGGGCACGCCTCACATCTGAACTGTACGATATAAAAAAATCTTAAATAAATGATAAACAATTTACTCCGGGTACAATTAAATAATCAAATCAACAACTTGAATGGAATATAAAAAATACAAATTTTGTGTCGATTTTAATAATAATGTTCCCACAAAGCCTTCTTATTGACAGCGGTAGAGTTTTTTGTATGTATGTGTGCAGTTATCTGCATGTTCAGTACCCAATAGTTTTTGTGTATATTACATATAATATTGTGTATATACAATATTACCGATCAGTCGTTCGCTAGCTAGTTTAAAGATTTTAGTCGATTGTGGTCGAAAGCAGGTTGGCCACCCCCGCTATATACCGTATACTGGTAGACAATATAAAGTTACGATATATTCACACATGGATTGAACAAAATACGAAAATGTGACGAAAATATTACACTGAAACGCTGTCTATATTTAATATTTCTTTATTATTATAGTTCTGTAGTTATTATCACTACCTTTAGATCCTTGTTATAAGGTTGGCTATCCAATTCACACAAGAAATCGTGAATCATAGCATCAGAAATGGTGAGAAGGATTTTACTTTTGTATGACGCGAGGATGGTTTGATCGAAATATTAAAAACATAACTTTCAAGTTATAGATGTAATGCTGTCATGCGTATTTCAATGCATAACAAATAGTAGTGGACACTAGGGATCTAATGCTGAATAATTGGTCACTTTTAGGTCACACTGCTGCACTGCCAAAATGGTGCTGTTTTTTATAATAATAATATAATTTTGATTTCCCCAAAAACATGCACAGAACAAATAATAAACACACAAAACATAAACACACAGAATAATGGGAAAATTGCGAAAATAAAGTATAATTTAGATGCTTTGTTCTCTTCTCTCTTCCTAATTTTTAGTGATAACAGATTACTTCATACACGAGAACATTAAATTTTTGATCACTTTCTTATTCAATATAATTGGCAATTTAGTTTTTTGAGAAATTTTCCCTTCTTTTTTTCGTTTGTAATAAATATGTCTTAGATGAATTTAATATCTGAATATGTTTACAGCTTCGTCGCCAGGCCAGAGAAAGAAGGGAGTTTTTGTATCGTAAGTCTGTTGAAGACAAAAGACGAACAATTCAAGAGAAGAAAGATAAACTCAAGCGGTCATTAGATGGTATGTAAACTACCGTAGTAAAAATTGAGCTTCTAGTATTGTAAATATTTCCTCCATCAGTCATCATCTGTGATAAACTTTGGGAGAAGTTGGAGGCATTCTTCTGTTGGATATGGGAGAAAGTGGATGAGTAGTTTTTGAACAAACTATTGAGAAACAGAAAAATTCCCAACTGTATCATATTTTATCCTTGTTCAAACGGAATCCTAACATGTTCAGTTTATTAATATTTTCTTGATATTTCATTTGCACAATGGTATGATTTGATAAAAATTCTGCCAAGTCTGTAAAACCCCCCATAAGATCTCATTGCTATATAGCTACACAATAGATTCGACAGTCTGATTGGAATTATTGTCCAGCAAATAGGCACAGATTAATCAGATAAAATATAGGGGACCGAAGACATGTCAACTTTAGCAACACTCAGACAAAGAAGAATCCTAAATTTGGGTTACATTGACAGAGGTTCGGGCGCTTAGTGAATCTACTCCTGGTGAAAATATATCAGTCGAAACCATGACTCTGACTCTGCACACTGCTGTGCACAACCCTAAGATAGGATAAATACATAAAATGAAAAAAAGGCAAAAATTTAGTATCATCACCCTTTTTATATTTAAAGTTTAACCCCATGTATATGAATCTATCATATATTGTATGTAATTATTATCTTGACTTTATATTTTGTTCATCAGAAAACAAAATCATACCTACTGAGCTACGAAAAGATGCATTGGCCTTGCAATCAGAATTAGAATTTGATGATAAAGGAGCTGCAGGTGTATCTAATTCTATTGATGATGAATACAGATGGGTGGGAGTAGAAGATCCAAAAATTATGATTACTACTTCTCATGATCCAAGTTCGAAACTGAAGCAATTTGCGAAAGTACCATTTTAATTTCAAATGACCCACTTTTTGATTTCGTATATAAGAAATTTATGTTACATTCTTCCTTTTGTGTATTTTGAAACTTCCTTAATCAGTTTCTCAACCTAACCCTTCATCATTGAGTTAGGTTAATACTAAAATCACTGAGATTACAATCCAAGCCCAATCTATTGTTTTATAGGAAATAAAACTAATGTTTCCAAATGCACAACGACTCAACAGAGGAAATCATGAAATGAAGGCTCTTATATCAGCTTGCAAGGCAAATGATGTCACAGATTTTATTGTTCTGCATGAACATAGAGGAGAACCTGGTAAGATTATTTTAAGAGGTGTACACATGAAAAATTTTGAAAATAAATTTTGTTCAGCTTCCATATTGAGATTTTATAATAAATTTCTAACTGTGAAGGTATCCAAGCGATTAGTATGGAGATTTATTATTCTTATGGTTCTTTTGCTATATCTTTTATACAAATTAATTTGCGAAAATGCCGGCTATATTTTACAGGTCATATTTACGCTACAGGCAATATTTACCAATTATATTTCTCTGTTGCAGATGGACTGATAATTTCACATTTACCACATGGACCAACTACATATTTTAATATGTCAAATTGTATTATGAGGCACGATATTCCGAATGTTGGTACGATGTCCGAGGCATATCCGCATTTAATATTTCATAATTTTAACTCAAGGCTTGGAGAAAGGGTAGGAATATTGGTTATGAATAAAGATTGTAGAATATTCGAACTGTACAGTTGTTTCAATTTTATAAAATTATCTCAAATTTCAGAAAAAATATTTTTAAGCTTGTTTAAATCGATGCAATGCTTGTGATCAATTACATTTTTGTTGTGGTTTTCAAACATGGCCGTGTAGCCGAAGTCTGGAAACATGGCATTTTGTTGGAGCTAGAGCCAGATCTACCAGAAATTTTATCGACTTCGGCTTCTGACCACCGAATTATTTTCCATTCATCATTTTTTAATGCAAATACAAGTAGCAAGTAGACCTGGAGCCACATTTTAAATATGCTGTGGTTCCAGAGCTATTGTGATTTTAAATCAGCTCCTTTTGTCAAAAGTGGGGTGTATATTTTATATAATATGAGGTTAAATTAATGTTCGTCATCAGTTTGAAAGTGGGCATTCTTGTAATAGTCTCGACCAATAAAACTGGGAGTGAGTCGCAATTGAAATAATGAATATTGAACTAGGATTAAAAAAAATCAGTTTTTGTTTTTCAATACCTGATTTTAGCGCTTGTGGAACAAAAGTGTTACATTATTATTTTTCAGGTCAAAACAATTCTTCAAAGTTTATTTCCTGTTCCAAAAGAAGATTCAAAACGTGTTGTAACGTTTGCTAATGAAGATGATTATATATCTTTTCGTCATCATGTTTATTCTAAACCAGACCGTAAAACAGTTGAATTAACAGAAGTTGGACCAAGATTTGAATTGAAATGTGAGCGAAGCATTAAACAAATATGTTTTTTTTTCTCATACTGAGACCTTTAACCCAAGCTATCCTGGATAAATCAATGCATAAATTAATTTCTCAAACATAGGTCTGTTAATAAGTCTATGTATCACCACACCCTGTTGTTGAAATTATTGAAATGCATTTTACAAATTCTGTATATAATTTGTAATAGCCTTGTAAAAGTAATACCGGTATGTGTAGAAATAGCCGAATTGCTGGACACTCAGATATTTATAGCACCAAATTCCAAACTTTAATTTTCCTTAATTCATCAAATAACATTGAATTTGCCTCACTTGGTTTAGTCTTGTAGGAATATCTTTTATCACAATGTCATGAGATTTAAATAAAATAGTGGTTTCTGATGAGACTCTGTGAATCCTTGAGAATAGAAAAATCTAGATTGGGAGGGAACTCTGAGTCTGGTCGCTAAAAACTAAATTTCATCCATCTAAGGTTGTATAATACTAAATTAATTGCATGTTTACACATGTTAGCCCATTTTAACCCACAAAACTGATAATTTTTTTTTCAATTGATGAAAAATATTGTACTTTTTGCAGTATATGAAATCAAGCTTGGTACGTTGGATCAAGCAGATGCTGCAGACACAGAATGGAGATTACATCCATACATGAACACTGCTAAGAAAAGGAAATTTTTGTGACATTTCGAATACTTTGTATTGTATACTCGAATAACTGCAAAGTTTTTTTTAATGCTCTAAACTGCCATCAGTTTTCTTGCAACAATACCTTACTTTGTAATGCAATGCCAATGTTTTCTTTTTAAAAAATAATAAAATCATGGATTTAAGAGATTGTCTTTTGGCACTTTTTGGTGGGGATGACCAAGATCGACCAATTGATGCAAGGTCGACGAAGCAAATTTGATTTTTCAATTAAGTTGCATATTTATGTTACTCTGTAACAAATTGGTTATAGTATAGATGGAGCCTAGTAAATACCCTTGTTTGAGAATAATATGATGATCACGTTTCATGCACTTCCGAACTTTATATGCTAAGATGGCCAACATCTTGGATAAGGGCCGCAAAATACTAATTGTTGCTATCACAACAGCAGAATGATGGGAGTGAGATATCGATTCCTAAAATTAGCATCTGGCAGGCTCGATTTTCCAAGTTTTGTAGCTCTGATGACAGCCTTACAATCTTGGTCTATTAGGGCAGGCATAGTGTTCGCTTTGATTGTTGGATCGCCGCATTTTCAGCAAGTTTGTAATTGATGGTTTCTTGTTTACTAATATTCCTTGCTCTTCGGACTTAATTTGATTTCCTCCTTGCTGTACCATCGACTCTTCCTATTCATACAATCAAATAAGCACCCATTTTGATTGTTGTGTAATGAAAGTAAAAAAAGACTGAGCATAATTCAAAACAGTCATTTGTGTTAGGGATTTTATTAGCAATTATTTTGAAGAAAACATAATTATTGAACATTAAAACAACTATGGCAGTAATATTATCAATAATAGAGATGTAAAAAAGCATGCATCAATTTGCAGCGTGTTTCATCTAACATATTATTGTCATCCACACAACCTGAACTATGTTGCGATAAGCTATTTGTATCAGTGCAGATTTATATATAATTCTGTGCTGTTAGATTATTGCATTTATATACTTATGCATAGATTAATTTAAAAATAAACTGCAGTTTTAGATGTTAGGGTACAAAGCCACAGTAAATTATCCTACGTAAACAAGCTAGTGCAAACAAAAATAAAAGTGAGACACATATTGATGATCATCTTGAAACTTTCTTCATTCTCTTGTGTAATTTAATATTCTACCAGTTATTTTTGACACCTCTTGTTCAATTGAGAAGTATGACAGTTTTGAATTCATTTTTTCGGTGTTGTCTTAGCTGTGGGGACATCTTGAGGACAAACCTAGGTTTCATGGATTAACGAATGGTATGACTGCACATGTCTTTTTGTGCGTATTGAACCACAGGTATTGGTTCAATCAGCATAACATATTAGAATTATTAAGCTATTATAAAGAATTATCATTAGTAGAAAATCTATCTGAAATTTTACAAACATTATCCAAAATAAAGAACCTACAATTTTCATGATACTTTTTCTGGATCAGTGTGGTTATAAAGAATCGATCCATCACCACTTCAAAAATGAATAATAACAAATAAATTGTGATCGATATAGAATGTGGTTTATATACATTGGTACGGTAATCAGAAAGACAGTTTTTAATTTTATGGTACAAAGTCCATGTTATTTCTCTTTCTCCTCACTATGCACACGATGATTGCTGCAATGAGCAGTATGAGTAGAATTCCTCCGATTACACCAAATGCAATGGCAAGGTCTCGGTAGATGGCTGTGAAAATAAAACTGGGTGAGTGCCGTAAATAGGATTATTTATTCAATTTTTGAAACTTATATAAGGATCATTCTAACTATTTTAGAAACCACATAGAAATAAAAGGTATGATGCATATTGCTACACAGTTTAACCTCGGTGGTCGAAAGACTCGACAGTCGACACTCTAACAATTGGATAGTTGACCGAAAAATGAGAGTCAAAAATGCTGCAGTACTCGAATGGGAAATTCGAATCTTGAACACGCCACCGAGTGAGATGAAGCCACCCAAAACGTGCTCTCAACCATTCGACAAGATTCAGTTCAAGTCAGAAGGTTAGCGGGATAACACATGTTGAGAAATTTTTGTGATTTATTGCTTTTTATGCCGTTGATCATGTCTCCGAAAAAGTATTGATAAAGGAGAATAGGAAAACAGTGGAAACAACTATCGAGTTGGAAAAAAAATACTTGTACTGTGAAATACGAAATCTCGGTTTACAGTATAGCATGGCGAAGTCTGCCATTACCGCGATTTCAGGTTCTTGAAAAAAAAAATTAACAAGAAAGCTAATGTTGCTCAGAGAGTGACAGCAATTAGAAAGCAAAGGTCTCAAATAATTTAGAAAATGGAAGTTTCTGTTTTTTTCGAACACCAATCCTGAACGAATTTTGTTTGACTACCGAGGTGTCATTGTATATTCCATGAGTTAAGATAGAACCTGGCAAAAGATAAAATGGTGACTTACATGATTCGTCACATTTGGTGCCTTGGAATTGTGAAGTGCATCTAGAAACATATAAAAACATTATCAGAACTGAAACTTATTGTTTACAATAGAGGAAAATATATTTATCCACTCACAAGCAAGTTGGTGTGTCGCTGTCTGTAGATGGTACACATGTTCCACCATTGTTGCAATATGCTTCTGTACATTGTGCTAAAAGATAGAATATTCTGTTTTATTATTCTGGTGAAAAGTGGTTCGTTCACTCGCTCTAAGCAATTGCAATGCTTTTTCTTGAATTATTGATTGATATAAAGAAAACCTTTCGATTCTTACACAGAAAACACATCTCAATTCATAAAGCCTTTGAAATGTAATTAAGTGCTGTAAAGCTAACATGTTTTGTATGTGTGAGCAGATTGCAAGGGCAAAGATTTCTATTTGTCTGCAAATTAGGGTTGTGAGACATTATCTTTTTATATTTTGTCCCCAATTAATTAAGCCCTATGCACAATCTATCATTTTATACATATAAATTACTGCTCCCAATCACCAAATGTTTAAACTTTTTGAAATGCAGATAACTTACCAATGCAGGTTGAGTTGTTGGAATTGACTGTTAAAAAAAAGGATTATTTACTATGTTGCATCACTAATATGAATGTTAAGAGGATTAATTCATTGATACCAAACTGTTTGAAATAATGAAATATACTATTAGAAACTAGTAATAGCAACAGATTTGTTTTATAAAATTATTAATAGTGGGTATATGGTGCAATTCGAAATTAAAATCGCAGAACTAAATGGACAGACCAGAGGTTTATCCTTAGTGGATAATGTCATTTTCAGGACATAAATCTAACACTTCCAACTAACATTGTGAAACAAGAGCAGAGATTCAATTTTGACCTGATACTTTGTATAATATAGAAATTTCCTAAGTTTTTAAAACATCAAATTGAAGAATACACATCGCCAGCTTGATAAATATCAATTATATCAACTTACGCATGTATCCTGCATTACAGACACATCTGTATGATCCTTCACTATTTTTACACTCAGAATTCGTGAAGCAAGTTTCAGTCAAGCATTCATCAATATCAAAACAAGCTGTTCCATCGCCTGTGAATTCAGTTTTACAAAGGTTTTGAAAATACATATAGTTTGAGTTGAGCAGAAAAAAATATTTAAATACTGTCACAACACACTATCACAGTTGTAGGACACAGTTATGATGTATATAACAATAGTAACAGTTATTGAAAGTCAATGAAAATGAAAAAAAAAATTCAAAACTCATATTTATTTAAAAAAATAGTTTGATCTTACTTCTGTATCCATCATTGCATTCACATTGATATGATCCAGCATTATTCTTGCATTGAGAATTAGTAAAACAAGTAACAGTTGAACATTCATCAATATCAGTGCAAGTTGTTCCATCACCTGTAAATTAAGGTTGGGAACTTGTAATCACATATATATATAAATATATATACTGTATAATCAGAGCGGCTACATCTTTTCCATGGTAATACCATATGATTAGAGGAAATGCTATAACTTAATGATATGGGTGTACCACGGCCTCAAGTCCGGTTACCAGTCCATGTTGGATATGGGATTAGTTAGCTTAGCCAGATATTTGTTCCAGATGCATGAACTTCATGGTGAAGGAAGCCGTAACCCACAACCAGTTAGGTGAACCACCCTATGGTGAATAGTTCAGCAATCCTTCCTCTTGCGAATAATTCTCCCCCACAGGATTCGAACCTGCCAATACACGCAGGGTAATCAGAGGTGTGGCCACACCGCCGAGCCCCTTAAAGTTTATTGAATATTATTTCAATTTAGTGACAGTTACCTTTTACACACAATCACGTCTCGGGTGTAATAAATTAATCACACAATACCAAAATTACCAATACCTAAAAATACTATACAACTGTATAGTCTTAAAAACAGATTATTATTACCATCACAGAAACGGCAGAAAATAAATCAAGTAAAAAACAATGATAAAAATAGCATGAGAAATCTCAATTCACCTGTATATCCAGTATTACATTCACATTCATATGACCCAGCATTGTTTACACATCCCGAATTAGCAGAACAAGTTACAGTTAAACATTCATCAATATCAGAGCAAACAGTTCCATCTCCTTCATATCCAGTCTGACAAGTACAAGTATAGCTTCCTTCTGTGTTGCCACAAGTTGCGAGTCTATATTTTGTAAAATTAGGAATAAAAATGAGGATAGTGTTAAACACTTGGATGTGGTTTTGGTTGAAATCTATTTTGTGAAGTCTATGGCATATAGATATTCATGCATTAGCGCGATGATACATCAGTGGCCAACACTACATACAATAAATTAATTGCAAACTTGATACATTATGTAAACAAAAAACCTTCATATCAAAACCCACTACTAGCGAAATATGCCTCGCAGTATTACAATGCAATGTTCAATTTGAGACATAATCCTAAAAGCTTATTTTATGTTCGAGCAGAAAAGTAGTTGCAAAATATTCTAATAACCTAATTCTGAAAGGAATATTTTAATTTCATGGTTTTTCAACTTTTTAGATAGTAATAAAAATTACTAATCCACCCATATCTTTACTTAAATCTTCATAGCAAATCAATCAGTTGTTTTTATATCCTATGAGTAAAAATTTACTCCACTTTATTATGTAAGAGTAGTGTTCTTCACAGCAAGCATTTTTGTGACATTTTCCTGATCATTTTCATTAAAATATTCACTTTATAAGCTTATATTTATTCCTTTCTTTTCAATTATATTTGGATCACCAGATGCCAAAAAATTTCCTTGCTATATCACCATAATATTTATTTATACACACATATCATAAACTACTGAACTGTATAAAAGTGAGAGTGCTACTTGACTATCGCACAATACTAGCTTACGACCCGTAAAAGATTAATTAAATAAAGTACTTTTTAAAAAAGGCGAGAGAGAAATTCAACAAAAAAGGTTGAGAACCATTACTATAAATCAGGAATAAAAATACTGCTAAATCCACGACATTAATGATGCATTTTACATTAATGACTATTATAGATGATGAGCTAGTTGTATGTTAAACTATTTCATTAATTAATATATAGGAAGAAACATACGAGTTGCATGAATTGCTTGTGGTGCACTCGTCAATATCAGCGCAATCATTCCCACTATATCCAGCTCTACATACACATGTTTGTACACTGTTAAGTTCGAAGCAATATTCACGAGCAGAACATGTAGTTGAAGAACAACTTTGAGCTGAAAAATGAAAAAAATAAGAATAATAAGATAGTCATTATGTCACACCAACATCAATAATGGGGGTCCTCAGTGCCATCTCATTTACATAAGACAGAGTGTGACTACTGACATATAAGAAACCTGGATTTGTAAGTTCAGCAAGTCTAACTACCTATAAAATCCCCCTGCAAAGCTGAGCCTTGTTGAGTCGAGAATAATATATCGAGAATATTTTTTCATAATTAACCTGTGGTAGAAGAAGGATGGCTAACACAACCTCAAGTTGGTTATGGAATGAGCTCACCTATCAACAATTGATAGATAACATTGATTCCAAACGTAGTGCCTCAAGTGTATTTTTTAAAACAGAATCCCAAAACAATACCAGAAAAGTCAATTAATAGCCAGAAATTAGAATTATTAAAAAGTGTTGTAATATAATATATCTTGCTATAGTGCAATACAACTACGACAACATGAAGAAAGAGTTCACAGATATCACTGGTTATAGAATAAAAATTTTAGCGAAATTCAATAACTTTGCGTATGTTTCTATGGGAAAATGATGAATGAAACAAGTAATAATTACTAGTGAATGAAACATACCAAGCACAGGTGTTGTTGCAAATAAAGTTGTGTCCCCAACATTTGGCAAGTAATATGACAGTATTGGTGATGTTACTGGCATCAGAGTTTGGATAACATATCTGCAATGAAATAAACATAATAGGTTTTTGAGGTACAAAACTGTTGGCAGTATAATGATATTCTGGAATCCACAAAAACTCCAGCCCCTTTTTACTAGCATCATGAAGCATATTCATGATTACATTAGGGTAGAAACCATTTTAATTTGAATTGCAAACAAGATAATATGACAAATGTTGTAGTAGGTTTTATATTAATATAAATTATGCGTAAGTACAGGTATAGCATATAAAACAATCTAATTTTTAGATTTGATAGCAATAACTAATCAAATTATTGATTTTTCTACTTCTTGCATACTTAGGATAGGATTTAGATACTTATCCCGGTGGAAAGAATATGTTTTGTTTTATGAAGCATGGACTTGAATTGTATGAACTTACAATGCATTGATGGATGTACCGGCTCCACTAGTGAATACAACAGAGACGAAAGTAAATCCAGGAAACTGCAATTCAACTTGTTTTTTCACTTCTGCTGATAATTCAGGTTCTGTTGTTGTCGCTCTTGTTAATTGAGCAGAATATTCATACTTTGTGATTGTTTGTTCAATATATACTGTAGTTATATTAGCTGTAATATGAATAGCAAAAATGGCATTTTCAAACAGGCAAATCAGCGGTTACAGCAAGGTAATCAGACCCTATGTTAAAAGACTGTTGCTTTTTTATAATGGAAAACTATATAAACTTTTAGACTATATAAGAATATATAAACTGATAAGTAAACCAAAGGATAGAATTTGGAGTTTAATTTGAGAGTGACATATTGATGCAGATATATACCAGTACAAAAGTATGAGCTGCACCTGGTTAGGGCAAGGGTTCCCAACCTATTTTTCTGGTGATTCAAGTTTAAAATATTTTTTTATAAACTCTCGAGACCCAAGGATATGCTCAAATACTAAATGGCATGTAGCGCTTCTATGGTCACAAAATTGAATTACTAATACAAAAAAGACAATAATTTTTGCATTTATTTCTTTATTTATCTATTTATTATTATTTGTTTGTCGTCAGCGAGTTTTTTGAAATCGTGGCATGTGGTACTCTCAGCATATACAATTACTATCGAGCAACACTTTAATATCAAATATAAAATAAACAATAAAAGTTACTAGAAAATAAAATAAATAGCTATTAGGCTTTTGTTGAGAAAAAAAAGCGACCCAAAAGAATTTTCAGGAGACCCACCCTTGGGTGGCACCCATTGATTGAACGTTTTTTTTTCAATATCCATGGACTTAATTGTTTTCACATAAAGGTAGGAAGTGCCATATTTGCTAGTACCACCTTTTTGTAAATCTATGTCATTATAATATTCTCATTTCATAAAAATTCTGAGCGTAATCAGTGAGCGTAGGTGAAAGAAAGGAAGAAAACTAATAAAGAGCAAATATTATTTACAAAGACAATATGCACCTGTGCAAGTAACACCATCCCCAGCATAATATTGTTTGCAACTACAACTGAAAGATCCAATTGTGTTTGCACAATCTGCATTTGCATTACAATTATCGGCTCCTAGTGAGCATTCATTCACATCATCACACTTAGTTCCACTAAATCCAGGTTGACAGTCGCACGAATAACTTCCTTCATTATCAACGCAAACACGATCGCTTGCACACGGATTTGGTGTCAATTCACATTCATTAATGTTTGTACACGCCAAACCTAAAAATAGTAGGAATAGTAGTAAAAACGTCTTTTCCATATGCATAATAAAATTATGAGGTGTATTCTAAATTTACATATTAAAAGGAGGACATCATTAATAATAATACAAGAATGGTCAAAGAACCCTAAATTTAAAGTAATCGATGCTAGAGATACACTAAAAATGAAGACCAACGAGAAGATGAATTTTATATAAATAATATGCTCATAGGGATTTCAGTATCAAATTACAAAATGGTGAATATTGTCAAATTTGATGCTAAAAGATGGTTGTTCAATGTTTTTTATTTAAATACTTATTTCAATCATCTAGCATTGCTTTCCTGTGAAAACCTAGTTTAATGTTAAAAAGCTAAATATAATCAAAATATAACTGGGTTTTACCAATCAATGAATAACCAGGCTTGCAATCACAGGAAAAGTTCCCCATTCTGTTAACACACACTGTATTCAATACTGTAGAACATGGATCAGGTGATGCTAGACATTCATCAATATCAACACATACCTAAAAGAAACATATAAAATTAAAAAACCTTTCAATATATTTCAGAAGTCAATTGTTGAGGTGTAAATTTTGATTAATTTAAAGTTTTTACTAATTAGACTCTAATAAAGCTGAGTAATAAAGATACTGCATGATATGATTAATAAATTGGATCTAAAATAAAATTAAATTACTGTATTTTGACTAATAAGCCAATCCCAATTTTCAGCTTTAAAAATATCAGTTAACCACCAATGTTTGTTCTATTTTTATCGAATCTATTTTACTTATTATTCTTTCCATTACGCACCAATGCAACCTCTCTCTATTTGAAATGTTTACAGTACGAGTGATAAAGCCAAAGGACATTGTTTTCATGATTTATTAGACATGATGTTATCAGTAGTTAAATTTGCCTGTGATGCAAACACAGATGTGTCAATGTCACATATTATATTCACATCTGAGACGTTCCAGATTCACAGTGTGAGAATGCTGATTCATGGAAACTGTTGAAGGCATAGTATTGTCCCCAATTTGTGGTATTTTCTGGTCTAAATCTAATATTTAGCAGACCCCAAAAAAATAAAATGGGAAGAGCCACCCAATAAGCTGACCGCATAGAATCAGACCAAAAATTTGGTCCAGAAAATTGTTTCATTATTCCAAAAACATGATACTTACATTATCACTTCCACTAAAACCTGGTTTGCAGTCACATCTAAATGATCCAATTTCATTTACACAATTGGCTCTGTCAGAACAAACATTTATGTTTGATGAACATTCATCAATATCGTCACATGATCCAGCATTGTCAAAGTAACCTGTGATGTAAACAATGATAGTAACAACCGAAATCAATGAATAGTTTCAATTCGGTTCATACTCTCATAACAGTAACTTCAAAACTAGCGAGACATAAGATATATATATGTAATAAATGAGGATATCCACAATGTTACTGAAAAAGGTGGAAACATAAAAATAACTATTTTAAAACACTTTTGAATAAAAAAAAGAACTTTATGTACCTGAATTACAAGTACAATAATATGATCCAACACTGTTGCTACAAACTCCATTTGGTTGACAAGGGTTTGCAGAAGCACATTCATCAATATCAATACACGATGTTGACACATCTCCACTGTGAAAAAATATCCAGCTATGTTTATGATATACTAAAGGATTAGATAAAAATTAAAACACTTGATCAGTTGAAGCTTAGTACACACTGAATAGTATGATTGCTTATAATTATCTAACTCTTGTACATCAAAATTTTTATTGTTATAATTTTTTTATAAAAAAATTTAAAGGAATAGCTTGGAGTAGCTAAAGAGCTTTGTTCAGGCCAGTGTTGAGATTGTGCGGCTCACACAAATCTGATCTGGAATGTAGTGATAATCGGCTAACTCGGACTTTGTTTTTGACGTTTGAAGATTGCAGCAAATGGGTTACATGCACAGCTGGTAACTCGCATTACATTTGGCACTTATGTATTAAATTTATGTAAAGCATGTTATGTTAATGCAGCGTACATAGGAACATACCGATACATAAGTATTATGAAATTAATGGGAGTCAATACAAAAGAATACCTGTTCTTACAATTTTGATAACAACTAATAGATGGAGGGCCATTATAAAATCAGATTACAGAGTGACATAAAGCAATTCAAAGGAATGATACTTACGAAAATCCAACTTTACAGGAGCAGAAATATCCAGGGGAAGTATTCGTGCAGGTTTCATTTGCTTTACATAAAGTATCATCCAAGCATTCGTTAATATCAACACATCCATCCCCAGTTGAAGAACCACTACCACTGAATCCAGAATTACAAGTACATGTATAACTTCCCACATTGTTGAGGCATGACGCTGCAGCATGACAAGGGTTAGTAGTACATTCATTCTGATCAACACAATCTGTCTTTGCTGCATTTTCTACAAAACCAGTTTTGCATGGACAGGTGTAGGATCCTGGATTATTTGTGCAGACTTGATTTGCCGTACAAACACCAGGAGTGCTCGAACACTCATCTAAATCTGAACATGTAACTCCATTTCCAGTATAGCCAGTTTTACATGAACAAGTGAAACTTCCAGGAATGTTGGCACATTGTGCATTTGTATCACAAGGAGTACTTGTTGAACATTCGTCATCATCCACACATGTTGTACCACTGTATGTGTACCCTGATTCACAGTTGCACTTGTAACTGCCAACTGTGTTTTCACATGTACTTGTGCCACTGCATGCTGATGGACATTCATTAACATCTGAGCATGTGGTACCATTACCTGTGTATCCAGTATTGCAAGTACAAATGTATGTACCTGGCTGGTCTTGACAAGTTGCCTCTGCATGGCACGGACTTGTTCCGCTGCATTCATCGATATTAGTGCATGTTTGGCCTGGAAGATAAAATTACAGATATAATACTCAGGACTGTGTGGGGAGGCATAACCCAGCTGCATATATATTTTACTGTTTGGAAGCAGGGAGCATAGCATGTCTTTAAAATCGAAAATCTCACTTGAAGTTTTTACTTACAGAATGAGGTTTGCTAACACCAACATTTTTCAGGTCATACTTGATGATAGTTGCTTTGAAAATGCTTCACGCCTGAAGCAGGGAGGTTTATTTTTATGCCAATGTAAAGTTGGGAATGTGAGCCTGTGAGTCTGTTTTTCAGATATCTTGTATTTAACAGTAAGGTAGGAGTTTCTTCCAACCCCAAAGACTAACAAACAGTGCTGTTTGCTGTTTCACAAAAAATATATAAACAACAGCAACATATTGAAAATCAGATAATGAATAATAACACAAACAATTGTTGATCACTTTAATTTTACTCGAACGATCATAAAGTTATGCATACCATTTCCTGTATATCCAGTTTTGCAAGTGCAGGTGTATGCATCCGGAGTATTAACACAATCAGCATTTTTGTCGCATGGGCTAGGGGAGTTGATGCATTCATTTATATCTAAAAGCAAATAATTCAGTTTATATTTAGTATATAATAGCCCAATCAGGACAGTAGCTGAGATACTCGAATATTTCATTAATGCAATAGTATTGAAGGCCAATAAATAAACAAAAACAGCAGCAAAAATGGCTGCAGTTTACATGTTAAACACTTTTTTTTACCTGTTGTAAGACCGGATGTAGTAAAAGTGGTTTTATCTGCTGTGGATGTCGTGTATAGATTTGCAACTGATGTAGCAGTGTCACTTGGTGATGAGGATGTTAGACTTGTCCTGCAATACATTATATACAGAATCAATTCAATTCAGAATGTGCAAAAATTATCAATACAAAATTCATTTCAGAACACATAGAACTGTGTTTAGACAGACAGAACAGAGAAGTTCACACTGTTAACATATAGACAAATGACATTATTGCTGCAAAGATGATACAGTTGTTGACTACTCACATACTTCTACAATTGACCACTAAAATCATTTTTTGTCATTATATAAAAAATGATAAAAATGTTACAAATTGTCTGTACATTTTCGCACTTGCACTTACATTACTTCGCATTACCAAATAACTTTGCATACATTAACTTATTTAACAACAATTAGCAATTTCCATGTATTTTTTCTCTGACTCGATCATAGTCTTACCTGCTAACCACGCTTCCGTTCAAAAATTCATTGACTTCAATTTTTACAAATCCGCTCCAATTATTCAAAATGATAGTGAGTGCATTTACAACAATAATCTGAAGCTGACTGAATTCTGACGATGTTTTATCAGCCAAATTACTTGAGTATGTGTAAGTGGAATTCAATGTTATTTCAAGATCAAAGACTTTTACAGCCGCTGTGAGAAAAAAGAGTTTGAAACAAGGTTGTAGCTATACTGCTCTAAAAATTTTCCAACATAGTAATAAATAGTAATCTGTTACTTCTATTGCTGAAATTATCATAGGTCGTAATTAAGTCATAATGATTTTTTAACATGAACCAGAATAATAATGTCCCTATATGTTCTTGAAAATTCAAATTCAAATAAATACTATTCAAATGAACCTATTTGAAGAATCTACCCTTTGAAAATCCTTTTTTTCTATGACATTTTATTGCAAAAAAGATCCCCATAAATGTTTTAACCAAATTAGATACAATACAGAATTCTGCAATTCAAGATTATTCAAATATAGATAATGATAGCAGAATCAAAATAATGTTTTTTATTTTTTCAAGACATTCTCATTTGTGTGAATCAAATATTTACAAAAACAAACCTGCTGAAATTGAATCAAGAGTAGCCGCAGGTCCCAACATGGCATCGCTATTTATTGTTCTAACAGAAAAGTTATAAACAGATCCAAGTACTGTTGGTATGAGTTGAGGTGATGTTGTATAATTATAGGACAATGATCCAGTAGATGTTGTTGCTGTGATTTGATAATTCGTTGCACCAGATACTTCTGTCCAACTTAGAGTTATTCCTTCGTTCTGTGTATTGCTTGATACAGCAAAGTTGGTTGGAGCCACTGCCACTGTAAATGATTCAAAATGTCAACTGTAACAAAAACTCAATATGTACATAATAATTATCCAATCCAAAATAAAAACTTAATATATTTTTGGCAACTTACAAGTTGTTGCTGAGACAGCTGTACTTCCTGAACTTCTTCCAACAGTTTTATAATTAACGAAGACGGTGACTGAATAAGTTGTTCCTGGACTTAATCCATTAATTACAGCTGAATTTGTGGAAGTAGAAACGGTCTTTGGGCCTAAAAGAAAAACAGCAAAATACCTATAGGGTGAGCTTATTGTTAAGCTTAACTTTTAGAAACTTAACTTAACTTTAACTTTTAGAAAAAATTTGTAGCTATTTTTGTAATTTCGAAATTGCAAAGACATAAATTTAAATCTTTTGAAAACTGCTCTTATTATTTTCATAATTTATTTATTATGGTATATACCAGGTACGGCAAACCCTAGTGACCCCCCAAGTCACAAATTAATGAAAAAACATAATAAAATTTTATTGATAAAAATTAATAATAAAGCCAACTTAATTCAGTGATTCAATCTAACAAGAAGTGAACTACTATGTAAATACTGGCAAAATGCTTTTACAATGTTTATGACATAACAATAAAATTAATCTGTGAACCAAGCAAGATGATATTGACTTTTATGAGAATGGAAGCAGATAGAAAAACATTATTCTTTCATAGTGGAATTTCCATTCAAACTATTAAAAGATTTACCATAGCATTGTAAATTTTTTCGCTAATTTGCTGTATGTATATACATATGTGTGTCGGACATGATTTACATATGTTTTCGGACATGATTTTCATAAATCGAGCAACAGAATTTTGATGATGCATGTGAAAAACTTGATGATACACAATACCAAGGGAATATAGGACTTGGGGGAAGATGCAACAGAAAGTTTCTCTTTGCTGCAGACAATAACTTTTGACTCATAGTCTTCCTTCCCACGATCAAAATAGAATTAAATAGAATTTTGATTCATTCATTAAAAAAGGTTTGCCATTCCTGGTATATAGTTTACAATTTATTGATTATGATAAAAGTTGCCAATGGATTATGATGTAAGATTAGATGCCTGTAAGATTAGATGCCTGTAAGATGCCAGTGAATTCAAAGTAGCATTCATGTTAAAGTGTTCACTATTTTCAATACATTAAAATAATAACAAAAATTATGAAGTTAACTAAAATTTCTTACCAGGAGTAACAACAACGTCAAAGTTATTTCTGTCCGGAACTTCAGGGAACGAAACAGTGAATCCATCTGTTGTTTCACTTGAAATGGTGACCGCAGGTTGACCAGCACTTATCACTTAAACACAAAAAATTGTCATTATTGGATTCCAAGTGGCCCTATGAGTCATTTCACTAACGTGCTGTGCTGTTGTTAGTTTTGCTGTTTTGGTGCAAGAAAAATTTCTTTTTTTGTAACTAAAGGATCAATCAATTCTATATTTTCAGTACTGAAAAATGGATGATGTGGTCAGAATGCCAGATATTTCACCCTAAATATTGAAATGCATGAAAACTAATTTTTTACTCTGCCGACCATGACTGACATATATGTCATGGCTGTTCTCTGTTCTAATTTTGTGAACTTGGTTTATCATCCACTTTTCCATGTAAGTCGCATAATTATTGAACATTTGTGGCAATAATTTTTCACAATAAAATTCTCAAAACATGAAATCAGTATGTTCAAATAAAATAAAACAGCATTAATTATAAATCACTCAGAGTGTAACAAGATAAATACAAAGGCTATTGATTCGTATTGTGAGAAAAGGTACCACTTTCAATCTCTACACTTGTACTCGTTAGATATTATTGTGGGAATTTGGTCATTTTTACCTGTATTATATTCAACTGGAGATCCATTTGATCCAGCTGAGTTAGCAGATTTTATTGCAATCATGTACGCAGTTCCTGACTCCAAACTTGAAATGGTATACGACATATTATTTACTGTTAAATCTGTGGTGCTGGCATCAGTCAATTTTTTATATGACACAATAAAATTATCAGCACCCGTGATCATATTCCATGTAAACTGAAAAGCGTCTGTTGCCCTGGTAGCAAGTGTTACAGTTGGGGCTTCGGGAACTAAAATGAAATAGTAATATATTTTTTCAAGCCATTTTTGTAAATATTTTTTTCTAAAGTATACAAATTAATGAAAACTATGCAATGGTTGAACTATATATAAGAAAATTGTGATTCATTGCAGTAGTTCTCTCTAGAAGTCCTCCAGAATTTTCTGCTCCCAAACATTTTTATGATTGTATCTTCATAGATATAAGGCTATGCAATAATCCAACCAACCAAAAATAAATGGATACAATATGATGCATCTTATGTTTAAAAAATATTCAGGTAACGTGTTTATGACATTAAATTTTACTTTGTCAGCCAATCAATATATCTATTTTTCATAGATTTGAGTATGAAAAAATTAGATAACAAAAATCTACTAGCTTGACCTGTAATTTGGATTTTCGAATTATCTGCACTGTCTCTGAAACCACCACGAGTCGTCATAGTAATAGTATAATTTGTTCCAGCAGAAAGCCCAGTGATTGTTGTTTCAATGATAGGTACTCTAATGTAGTTTGGACTAACGCTAATGGCAACGTTATCACTTGTACGCTTCGCTCCTACACTGTAAGCTTGTGCACCAGGTATTGCAAGCCATACCAGTTTTATTGAGTTTGTTGTTATATCAGTTGTATTGAAATCCGGACTGCCTGGTCCTAAAATAAAAACAAATTAAAAAAGGTTTTATTGTTATTGCATATATATCCCAAATCCTAATCTGTTGACTGAGATAGAGTTATTTAATATGAAGCATGTCAACATTGTCCATGTGTTCATTACTGCCTATAATGTGAACACATGTTTCTATACCTCACTATACACAAATGTATATACATTTGTTAACTCAGCTCGGCGGTGTGGCGCATCATGCTAAGCGTTAGGAATATATTTGCCTCTGAATTCCCTGCTGCGATTCGCAGCTTCGACTCCTGTGGGGGACAATTATGTGGAAGAAGATTTCCGGACTTGCCACTGTAGGGTCTTTCACGTAACTGCTCGTTGGTTACAGAAAATAAAATAGCTGTCTAACTAATCTCATACCCGGCATGGGCTGGTAACCAGATGAGAGGCCGTGGTACGCCATAAGGTTAAGCAATCTTATTGGCTTTTTTCTCCTCCAGGATAAATATGTAAAACCTATCCTATTACTATTTTGAGTTACCGGTAATGATCATAGATCTGAAAGCGAACAAAACAAATTTTACTTGTGCTTAATGTTCCACTGATGGTTTGGCTTGATCCAAAGTCATTTATAGCTCTGATTTGAATAGTATATTGCGTCCCACTGGTCAGTCCAGTAATGGTTGTTGTTGTCCCTGTGACATTGACTTTCTGAACAGTTGTAGATCCACTGAACGATGGAAAAATGGTTTTGTAAGGCACTTTACATAACATAACAAAGTCATTTCACTATATTATTTTAAAGAATATTCCAAAACAAAGATATTGAATAGAGTCACTGGAGCAAAAGATAATAATTTTCAATCAATCAGAAAGGCGCCTAATACGTTTTATGCTTGGCAGTGTGGCGTAACATGAACATTAGGAATACGCTTGCCACTCTGTTTGACTCTGTTGATTTTCACCATATGATTGAGCTATCCTATGAATCTACCTCTCCCTTCTATTCTATGCATCTTAGTGCATATATTGAGTTCCTAAAACTATAATTAACCACCAATTATCTTCAAGTGACCAAAAATTCTAAAGAGTGTCTTCAGTATGAAATAGATTTCTGTGGAATGTATGGAGAACCGCATGATAAAAATAGCAAGCAATTTACTCCCATCAATAAAATTAGATTCTGGGCAGGTAATAGGACTAGAAGATCATAACAAATCGACTTACTCTAAAACCTCAACTTCATAAAATTTCGCTCCAGTTGCATCTGGAGTCCATGAAAATGTAATTGTTGTCTCTGTACTGCTGTCTTCAGTTGGTGTATTTGGATCCAAAGGAGCTAAACGATAAAAAAAATTCACGTATCGACACAAATATTCTATTATTGTTTGATCAAAAATGCTAATAAATTTAAATTGCTTAACATGTTCTGATATAAGTATTACAAATTTTTTTTTGTATTTCATTTATGAAAGATAATGATAATAACCAGAGTTGTAGAGTTGAAGCCTGAAATTAAAGTTTTTTCCAGTATTATTGTCAGAGCCATAGTTGCATTTTCTAAATCCCCAAAATTGGAGCGCATGTTGATATTTTGGACCCAGTGAACCCAGAATTTGAAAATTGTTAAATTTGATTTTGAGCCAATTTTTCTAACTGGAAGAAAAAAATCTTCCAAACGACAAATTGCATTTCAACATCATTTAATAAAATTTAATAAGTGACAGAAGTTGTATGCAACTTATGGCAGCTATAGCAGATTATGTGTTTGGAGTCGCCAGTAAAATCAAACTTTTCATTGACTGATTAATCACAAGTTAAGAGTTGATATGTTCACCTCTGTAAAATTGTAGCTTTACATCAAAATCTGCATTATAATAACCCATTTTGTCGTTCATTATGTATGTTTATTGATTTACATTGATTCTTGCACGATGAAAATAAAATATCAGAATCTAAATCATATGTTAAATTAAGCCTAGACATTGATACAATAGATAAACATAGAAATCATGTAATATCTATATATTTCATTGTTTTTGTTATACCTGTTGAAAATGTGTACTGCGTTGATTCACTGGCCTGTTGTATTCCATCAGCAGTAGAAGTTTTAGCAACAACTGATACAGTATAATTTGTTCCAGCTGTTATGCCTTCACTTGATCCAAAATCGGCAAAGCCATCACTAAATTTAAAGCAAAAGTTTACAACTTCTTGTGTATTCTGAACCTAGTCTTAAAAAATTCATCAAAAATATTGAGGCACTCACAAAGAAATAAATGAGTTATATGAAACTACCGAAATATCAATGTGTGTTTCATAATTTAACTAAGAAAAAACTTGGGCCATTTAAATTATCACAAATGAAACCGAAAATTGCTGTACAAGGGGTAAGAAGATGGTATTCAAAACCTTAATAAAATTGTGTGCTTTGAATAATTTTTAATGTTCAATACAACTAAACACTCACGAGACAGGTTTAGAAACTGGTGTTCCAGTTCCATCACTTTTAGTTAATGTGACATCATATGTGGCTGCTCCTGTCGCTGTTGTCCACTGCAATCTAAAACTAGTTTGAGATGAACCATTCCTGAGCTGAAGATCTTGTACTGGGCTTGGAACTTTAAAAAATGTTTTGTGTCAGAGGTATATGCCAATTGCGGTAATTCTATCTAGTGTAATGAATGGCACAAAAATTAAAATATTCAAGCATTTTCCCATAAATCTACATACTGGTATATTTGAATTTTAATTGAGAATGTGAAACTCATCCAGCAAATGTAGTTTGTTGGAGTAGCATGTGACTACGGTAACTATTTCTTTATTATTTATATCTCTTAATTATTCATTACCAATTAGTCGGTCAATGTGCACTAATTCAGGATTTTTAGGAAAAATGACAATGGCTAAACCTGGTTGATAATCTGGTATTTTATACTGTAGTTTCATTTAAACAAAGTCAGGCTTTTCATAAAAGCAATTCATAATAATGATCATTCTTTTGAGCATTTGAAAAAACATGAGAAAATATATTCAGGTTTCACGAAAAAGCATTTGAGCAAAAGTTTCAGTCGAGCCTTTGAAAAATTATGAAAAAATATATTCAGATTTCGTGAAATTTGGAGAATAACTCCACAAATGGTACATACTAATTGTTAACAATGTAAAGCAAAAAAGTAAAATCTAGTTTTTAATTGCATTTGAACCAGATATTTAGCAATGAAGGTAATTTGTGTTGAGTTTATTTTTCCAGCTAAACATAGTTTATAGGTGATACAATTCGGAATATCTCTCTCTCTCTCTTTCTATATATATATATATATACCTGTTATTTGGTCAACCCCTGCACTAGCAAGGCTAAATCCACCAGTATTTTTGCTCCGAATTGTAATTGTGTAAACATATCCTGCTGTTAAACTACTGAACGACTGCATAGCAGTTGATGTTGTTACATTTTGAGAAGGTCCATCAGGTGTTTTTTGTTTCAATATAACGTCATAACCTGTAGCTCCCTTAGAATCATTCCATGTAAACTGCATGCTATTTGTGGTGATGCTATTTGGTACTATATTAGTTGGCACAGGAGGTGCTGTGAATGAAATAGTGGTTTAGATGGAGAAGGTTTAAATTTGCAGAACAAAACCTATATATTGTCTGTGATACATAAGAAACTATTTAATAATAATTCTGTCAGATCTAAAGTAACTCAATTCAAATTTCAGTTACATGCAACACTGTGTATTTATAATGAATCGTTAACAAATCAAGTTCATTTACAATTTTTATATTACATCATACATATCGGGTTTTTACCTGTTTCAAATGAAATTGACACTGGAGCGCCATTTTGAGTAACTCCAACAGCTTTTGATACAGCATAAATAGATATGTTGTAACTTTCTCCATCATTTAAATTTGTAATACCACTCCAAGGACTTGCACTAAAAATAAGCAGTGCATACAACTGTGCGTTCATACATATTAAGGCTGTAATTATGAACTAACCAACTTGAACTAATTATTTTAAAACTACATCTATATTCAACAGTTTGTATCAATTATCGAGTTTTTGTAAAAATTCAAAATGTAGTAGCATTGATAAAATATTAATACGGTCGTTGATATTCATTAAGATAATGAAAAGAAACTACGGTACCATAATTATTTCAAATTTGAATGAGAGGTTGTCGTCTGCCATATTATAATAAATTGAAAAATACAAAATAAATTCATCTTCACATTGTATTACCTTTAACCAAGCACAGAATCATGTTCAACAAAACTTGGACTTTACAGAATAAACACGCTGATATATATATATGTATAATTTAATGATTAACACCTAGAACAAGGGAGGGGCCTATGAAAGTGTGGGGCCCATTGAGGCATGAGTTGCAGTGGCCTAAGTTCGGCCGTCTATATACATGCTTAGTGCTTACCAGTAAGTGACGAAAACAAAAACACAATAAATGTAAAGTAAATATTGACTTCAACAATGACACTTACGTAGGGTTTGCAGTGGAAACTTCTGTACCATCCTTTGTTACAGAAACAACATAATTTAATGCACCCGTAACTTCAGTCCACGTGAAAGGTATTGACAGCTGAGCAACATTTGCAGTATCGACTTGAAAATTTGGAACACTTCCTGGGACTGTAAAAATATGATTGTTTTACAACAAAAGTAGTCAATGAACAAAAATATACAGGTACAATATGCATTTCAATTACTTTATTTTACATCTGGTTCAAAATTGTGCGCATACCCTTGCTATGGGATTAAAGCAATTTACTCATAATATGTTTCAGTGTTTGTGGCACTGGTGAGAGAATTTATTAGAAAATTGTTCGTAAAGTATAGAAAACATATAGATAGCATACATGAGGAAGTAAACAAATCGTCTGTAGTCTGTTTAAACCATCGTATTTTATGGACTATAAGACGTACTGTCAATGAATTGCTTAGATTGGCGCATCAGGCTTTGGGATGTAACAATATTTAAAGCAATATTGTACTGGTTCTGAGTGTAGGCTTCATGTTGTACAATTTTTCATCATATTGTAAAATTACTTGTGATTTGCTTTAATGTTGCACTCATGGTGCTGTTTCCTCCAGCATTTTCTGCCATAATAACAAAATCGTATTCATGCCCTGGCTGCAAATCATTTATTGTCAGAGTTGTGCTAGTTGTAGAATGAATCATCGCAGCAGTTGCCGTCGGTGCAGTTTGTGTTGTTTGTATGTGGTAGGTTTGAGCTGTACTTGATTTAATCCAAGATAATGTAATGCTGGTTGTGGTGGCAGTAACGAACGATAGGGATGGTGCAGATGGAGCTGAAATTTAACATACCGTAACTTTTATAACAACTATTAATAGGATATTCAAGGTTGATCAAATGTCTGGCATCACACTTTCACAACTTTTGGTCTGTAACCTTTTGTCAGATTTCGGTCTCACCAAGGATAAGTCGTTAGAATCTTGCTACTCCAATTAGAATATAAATGTAATACCGTATGTAAACTTTTACAAATAAATTAAATATTTCTCCAAAAATACCCAAATATCAAGAAATATAAATTCCAAGACTTACTTTTAGTATACAGATACTAGATCAAATCGATACATTTAACAAATAGAAAAATTAATCAACGTGAATGAATTGCTTTATCTGATTAACTTATTTCTTGTTCGCAGTGATTGTACATATGATTTTCGATGCAGGGTAACCAGAGATATGGTGGCAAATGTGTTCTAAACACTTGGCATAATGCGACAATATTCTTGAATGTATGAATACCTTAGGCAATGTTTCAAATTTACATTCCTGATACAATGAGGTAGCTTTTTATTATTTTTTTACTGTATTTAAAATTCATGTCAAACAGAGGTAGATAAAATCACATTTGAACTACATGGATGTAACATGCTAGTTTGTGTTAAAAGCTGTATTGCAATGTACTTCCCAACATACCAAAAACCAATTTACGATAAAAAAAAGCAAATAAACTAAAGTTAGGTACCTGTTATCTGTGAGACAACATCGTTGCTAGGCAAACTCTCTCCTGCCTCATAAGTTGCATTAACAGAAGCATTATACAAAGTTGCAACTTCTAATCCGCAAATTTGCACAGAGTTGGATGTTGATGTCTCTGACATACTCTGTATAAAAAATTAGGCATTAAGTTTGTGAATATCATTAGTGTCTGACTTTGTGGCTTTTTAAAATAAGTTGTAACTGCAACTAGGGCTGGTTATATTTACCCTTTTAAGAAATTGCTGGAATTATTTTTCAGTAATGTCATTTAACCTTATTCTAACATACATATTGACATTATTGGCGTTTTATGTCTCCTATCTTTGAGCTTTTATTACTTGATTTACTAATATGGTACTTTAATAAGAATTGCGAGCAAATTATGACTGACTTCGAAATTCATTCTACAATTTATTGTATTTGTTCAATCCACTCATTTCCAAAATATAACCAAGATGCCATATTACGGTAAATTGAATAATGCAAATAAATATAACGTAATCTACCTTAAAAGTGGGCCTGTAGTAGAATTCTATATAGACTCATATGGTGAGATGATTTCTTACAAATATTTTAAATTGGGATCAAGATGTCAACACTTACCGTTGCAGTAGAACTCCGCAGAGTTGCTGTGTATGAATTTGCATTTGAAATTGCATTCCATGATATTGTGAAGCAAGTTTGATTGTCCACTTTTATATTGACATTAGTTGGCCCAGGCAAAACTATAATAAAAAACACAAACTAGTTAACAGACTGCTTCAAAGATTAAATCTATATAAGATTTTAATGATCAACTTACCGGAGTAACAATTTTGAATTGTAGCTGCTACTCCTGATCCAGCTGTGTTTGTAGCTGTTACAGAAGCATTGTACAAGCTTCCAGTTGCCACATTGCAAACTTCAGCACCAGGTTTTGTGTTGTTCACTGTAACTTCAACACCAGTTGCTGTTCCTTGGTTTATTTCTGATGCGTATGTTGTTGCAGAATCAGCATCCCATGTTAAAGAGAAACACGTTTCCGTAGAAGGCTTGCATTGTAGGTTTTTCACTTGATCAGGTACTAAAAAACAAGATAAAAACAAGGATGAGCAATTATTTAAATCTACTTAGGAGTGTTTGGAATTCAGTCAATGGCATTAATAATAAGCATAAAAGGGGTATCATCCCGGGGTAGAGGAAAATCGATAAGACTGCTTAATCATATTGCAAACCATGGCCTCTCGTCCAGTCATTTCATGTCGGGTATGGGATTAGTTAGCCAGTTATTTGTTCTCAGGTGCATGGACTTGATATGAAACCACCCTACAGCAGCGCGGAGTCCAGCAATCCTCTCGCACATAATTAACCCTGCATGGGATTCAAACCTGCGAACCCATGCAGGGTAATCAGAGGTGTGGTGGCGAGCGTAGTTGTAACGCTTAACACTATGCGCCACACCGCCAAGCCAAGTCATACATAACAGTATAACTACTCAACAATCAATCAAATTTAATTAAAAAAAAAATGATAATTTACTTACTGGTTAACTGACTAATTTCAAAATAGGTAACAGATGTACTGAAAGCTGATATGAGCATGGTAACTTTCATTGTGTATTTAGTTCCTGCTGTAAGACTAGTGAATGTTCTGGTCAAATCCCGCTAAAATGAAATAGGTTAGTTGATTATTTACTTACTGTGCTCAAGAACACAAAACAAATGTACAAGAATTTATTGAAACGTTGTATGGTTTTCAACTTTCCATATTCTGCAACCTTTTAAATAGAAAGAACTGGAAGAAAAATCAAGTTTACATGCTAAGAGGTAAAGGATGTAGAGAAGATGCATTTGATAACAAATAAAAATATAATGTTCAAAAAAGTGCATGGTGAATTTAAAATATTTTGAGCAGCTCACCAATAATTTATCCTGTGAAGCTCCTCCACTGGTTATCAAACTTGAAAAAGTGATGCCAAGATTGTTCGGAACAGCATTCCATCTTAATTCTATGCTATCAGCAGCCACAGCATCAATGTTATAAACCTCTACAATACAGAAGGCAGCATTTGATTCCAAGTGATTAATAATCAAAGCAAGGAACTGCTGGTAAACATACAATCTATCATAACTAAATTGATATTTGCTATGGATATTAGAATATAACTTATATTCAGAGTCCAATCGATAATGAACTTTGGAAGCAATTAAATTACAATGATAGTTATTGTTTACTTGTTACTGGGCATTTCAAATTGAATAGTAAATTGTACGAATCGGTTCATACGAAAATTTTGAATTGTCGACATCTTGTTTTATTTGTGCCAACCAAACGTTGAGGTGAATCGAGAATTTATTTTATTGAAGCCTTATTTTTACAATGTAATTATGACATATGAGTCCTCTCTTTTTTGTGAAATATGGGTGAAACATGTTCTTATTGCGTGTGAACACTTAGCGAACTGTTGGAGTGATGTATTCATGTTTTCAGTAATTAATGTGTCTGGAGCTTTATGTATCACATACAATTACTAATCTTCTAAATATTCTAGATTTGATTCAGTTCTGAAACTATTGAAAATGCCCAGCCCTACTGGTTACCCAATTTTTTTCAAAAATTCATTTCAGCTTTCTACAGTAATATAGATATATATCAAATAAAAGATATTACTTGTTGATACTACAGATGAGAATGCACTGTCCACCGAGTTAGATTTGTATGCAACTGAAACATTGTAAGGTGTTGTGATTGGATCTGACGCAATATGTACAGTATTTGATGATGTTTCCACTGAGATTGCAGTACCAGTACCAGTAACTGGTATATATTTTACAATATGAGACACACTAGCTCCTCCTTCAAGTGACACAGCATCAAACACTACATCAAATCCATTGTTTGTAATATTGAACAATATCAGTCCAGATACAGTGTTAGGACCTAAAAAAATTCAACATGTATGACCATAAAAATTAGGATAAGATTTACATTTGATCACAAGGGAGAGTAAAGATGCTAAGATGACCTAATCATATGGCGAACCATGACGTACAGCCAAGTTATCAGACCATGTTGGGTATAGGAATAGTTAGCTAGGTATTTGTTATAGATGCATGGACTCGATGGTGAAGGAATTATGTAACAGTTCAGCGGTTACATGAACCACCACCCTACAGTGGCAAAGAGTTCAGCAATCCTTTCGTACATAATTATTTCCCAAGTGATATAAACCTACAAACCCATGCAAGGTAATCAGAGGTGCGGTGGCGAGTGTATTCCTAATGCCTAGCATGATGCGGCACACCGCCGAGCGATAAGTATCTCAGTATATCTAATTAAAAAACTACCTTTCAATTTATCATCCATTGTCCAAGACATTTCATAACACATTTTATAAATGCTATTAATACATACGGTATATACAGATTCCATTGAATTACACATTGAACATTACATAATTGAAGTAGTAAATTGAAACACCAGTAGATAAAAAAAGTTATATGCATTATTTTTACCTAAGGTCACAGTAGCAGTAGATTCAGTTCCATTTACTCCACTAATTTCAGCTGACACCGTTATAAGTAAAGCTGAAGCTGGAGTTAATCCTGTAATATCTTTACTTAGTTTGTTATCAATGACATCTGCTGCAGTGAATGTATCAATTGGATCTGATGTGTCATTCACCGTTACATAATATTTGTCAGCACCACTGACTGCATCAATTGCAACTCTAATGCTTGTGGCGCTCAATACAGTGGCACTTATCGTAGGCCCTGCAGCCACTGAAATTAAGAAAATTTAAAAAGGATGATTTATATTACCCTATAATATATGATTTAATATCTATAACACAATTTATCAGAGCAAAACAAGCTTTATTGCAGAATTATACATCCATTCAAAATGATGTCAATATTTCATTCGAAAAATGTTGTATTTCAGACTGGGCAATACTTATTGGCCAGAGTTTATTGTTTATATAACAGCGAGTCTTATTCAACTTTTAGTTTGGCTTGTGATCTTGCTTTGAGCTGACGATCCAAAAAACTCTATAGGATGTAAAGATAAATATACGGCAGGTTTTAAACTAAATTCTTCTTATTACCGGTAAAGAAATTTAGATAGAAAGAACAACTCACATGTTGTAACAGTTTTAACTGCAGAAGAAACTGTGACTTGTGTATTGACAACTGCACGTACAGTTGCAGCACATGCAGTGTTTGGTGAGAGTCCGGAAACAGAAAAACTTGTTAAGGTTGTGTAATGAGTCGTAGTGGTTTCACATTGCACTTTAAACAAAAAATTTTTTAAATTTGAATGTATTGCCTGACATTACAATTACTATGATCATTTATGTTTGCTCTCAGTATAAACATTGGTATATATCATATATTTTAGTAAGATTAATTAATGGATTGAATTAATGGATTGAATTAATTAATTGAATATATATTAAAATCAACAGCAACTCACCTTCTAAAATATATGAAACGCTACCTCCTGTAACGGCATTCCATTCTGCTGTTAAACTATTGGAGGAGTCTGAAGTCAGAGATAATCCAGCGGGAGCTGTTGCAAGTGTGGCACCTGTAAAACAAAGACAAATATTCAATCACATATTAGTTATGTTTAAGACAATTCTGTTAATTTTCTGGGCTCGCTTAACATATTGCCGTGGCGCCCCTTTTGGGAAACACTGGCATACATAATATCTTTATATATAATATAATATCTTCCCCACATTATCTTTGCATGAGATTGTATTGGTCATTATCAATGTAAGTGTTAAAAGTACAACAGCCCGAAAGTATAATACTACCGTGTATTTTGTTTGTTAAGTTTGGCCCAAGCCTCATTTAATTGGGCTTGTGTGTGTGCATGCTGGTGGGCAGGCACACGAGATACTTCTCATGTTTTAAACTTTTTTATAGGTTTTGCTTGCTCTCCAGAATTTCCCATTTTTAATTTATGTTTGTTATGGTGTTTTCAAAATAAACTATCTATCTATTTCACCAATATAATGAGAAGACAGATGAGATTTGCAATATAACATTTCTGTATTCAAGAATATGATTGATGCAATAAATGTCTTTGTAAAACACAAATTTTTTATTCAAACATTGTAAAACTAGGCCATACCTATGTAAAATGAAAGTCAATATACATTTTCGATATCAATATTTAAAATTATTTCGAAATTGTTGTTTCAAATAAGAATACGAATATTTCAATTACAATGGACAGAAGGCTAGTCATCTGCAGTATCATGTTTAAAAATATATCTAAATCAGACAACTTCAAAACCGAATTGTAACATTTTTTTTTATTTTAGCTCACAGGCATGATGTCTTAAAATAACAAAAGTGCACTTAGTATGCAGGATTTCTGACTGAAGAATAATAATTAAATAATAAGAAAAAGGTAATTACTTTGGCTAATAGTTCCACTAGTAAGAGTTGCCCCTGGAATTGTTGCAGTTGAAGAAGTATTCTGTACAATTTCAGTTAGAGCTTCTACACTACCAGCACTGCAAATTAAAGTTAAGAGAATTATACTAATCATATGAAATCACATTCTGAACCAAAATAAAGGAAGGAAATTTACAGGCAAAATGTATTATCATTTATATACCACATAAGAAGAACACAGAAGCTTAATTCAACGTGCTACCCGTTATAAATACGTTTTTCATCGCACCTCTGATTACCCTGAGGGGGTTCGCCGTTTTGAATCTTGTGGCGGATAATTATGTGCGATAAGATTGCTGGACTCACCACCATAGTAAGGTGATTCACATAAACGCTGGTTGCTTACGGCTCCCTCCACAAAGAAGTCCATGTATCTGAAACATATAACTGGCCTAATTATCCCATACCCAACATGGTCTGGTAACCGGACGAGAGCCGTGGTATGCGATATGATTAGGTTGTCTTTTGAGCATCCCTCTCCCCTGATAAAAATGCTAACTTATCTTCCAACACAACAGATATGACAAGATACTTACAAAAATCCAAGAACTTCAAAGGATATTGCGTCATTTGGATGAATTTCTTCAAATCTTGATTTGAAAATATTGTACATATCAGTAAATTCTGTACTTGATCTGTCAGTGAGACTTGATGTATATGTTTCGTCCGTTAACACTATAAGCACTTTGATAGATGAGCGACCTATAATGATATTGATAATAAAATGAGATAATAAAATGAGTAACCACAAGAAATAAAATATATTGCAAAATTATATGCAAAAACACATCTAAATGGAAGTATATTTCTGATTCTAAAAATTTTATTTGAAAATAATAGAAAATAGTTCCAGGGAATAGACTACATCAAATAACTAGCAGTGAATTGACTAAAAAACTTACTTGTTTCTACGTTGAGTACATCACTCTCTGGACCAGCAGTTACAACTGCACCATTTTGAAGTTTGGTAATTTTGACGGTAATTGTGTATTTTGTTCCCTCAGATAACGAAGAAAAACTAGCAAATTGTGTGGCAGTAGTAGTTGTCTCTTTAACTGTTCCGTCAGCTTCATATATTATTACCTAAGAAAAATTTCAGCAGGAAATTCATTAAAATCATTAATAAGACTTCTATTTACCATATATATTAAATATTGATGGTGGAACGAAAATTATGAGAGTGAAAAAAGTAGAAGGAAACATAATTATATTTACCGAATATTCTTGGTGTGGTAAGCTGGAGTTAATTCTAAAATATACAGAAGTGGTATAAACTGCATATCCAATAGGTGGTGGTAGTTTTTCAATTTCTGTTAAATAAAAATAAATAATTGCTATATTAAATAATTCCAAGCTGAACAAAAAATAGCAATAAAAATATTGCATTGTTATGAAGAAAGTTGATAAACAACCAAAAGCAGCAAAAAGCAATATGCAAAAATGACTTACCGGTAGTTTACATAACTCAAATTGTGGTAAAACACGAGTTACAATAATAAAATAATGCTGCTTGATGATTGTCAGTCCCATGGAAAGATTAGTTTTGAACATCTCTACATCTAGTTTTATCTATTTGCAGCATTTTCATTTTATTCACACATTTTTCAAAATGACAAGATGACAACAAATATTTGAGATTTCAATCATATATAATAATAATATTAATAATAACAATGAACCATTCAACATGTAGTTCTTGAATGGTAAAGACCAACCTTGACAAGTTCCAGGTTTATATGGATCACCATCAAATCCAGTCTTGCATTCACAGGAATAATTGCCAGATAGATTTGTGCAGTTTGTATTCCTGGCACAGTTATTGGTTGATTCAGAAGCACATTCATCATTATCTAGAAACAATGAAAAATATAAAATAACTTAGACGGTCGATCACCACTGGAACAATTAAAATTTGTTATGTTTTGTACATATTGTCTGATCAATTGGTGAATGAAAAGAAAACTGATTTGATGATTAATACAGGACCAGCTAATATAAACAATGAGGAAAAACATTAAAATAATTGAGATGGAATTTTTATACCAGCAACTAAACATACATAAAAGTGGAACAATGAAATATAAGTTGATGTCCAATAATTCCTAATCGCGAAACTCTGAAAATATCATAGGCAAGACATCTAACAAAATAATTATTTAATAAAATTTCAAGTTTCACATTCATGAAAACCATGATCCGATTAGTGCAATATCAATATCTCTATGTTATACCATTGCATACTGTTCCATTTCCAGTGAAGCCAGATTTGCAAGTGCAAGTATAATTTCCAGGGGTGTTTGCACAATTTGCATTTGTGTCACATGGAATTGTAGAAAGCCCACATTCATCAACATCTGGAGATAAATTAAACAATGATTCAAGTAAAATAATCTTCAAGCTTAGATAAATTTAAAATTGTTTACAAAAAGCCAAAGGCTTTTTAGGGGCCACTTTAGTATGCAATCTCACTTGCCTAATGGGATCTCAATCGCCTACTGTATGCGTTGAATTTCATAAAGACATTATCACAGAATTCAGTTCCTAACTAAAAAGAGATCCCACAACGCTGATATCTCATACCAAAGTAGCAATAAATTTTATAATGAAGCTGCTGTACTATGTCCAAATTTTAAAAAGTTCAAAAAGGTTATGCTGTGTGCTCCCTTTTCTTTTAATTTTCTTTAAATACTGTATTCACAACACAGATAAAAAAATTGAAAATGCAAGTATGGAAGATAATATAATATTCTTTGTTTAAAAGTTTTGGATCAAATGTACTTCCGACTTCGTTAATCCTTAAAACGATAAGACCTGATTTGAATATATGTTTGAAATTCGGTATACAATTATTTTTTTTTCCTAGTGTGAATGAAATAGTTTATTGACAACTGTGCCCTGAAAATTGAAAACAAATGGTTTGGTGCAATGATAGCAAAGTCCAGCTTTTAATCAAAATTAAGTTTTTTTGTTGGCGAATAATGCTTAATCGAGTAATAGTAATAGTTTCCAATTTTCAATGGTTACATTGATTATTCCTATATTTGTACTAACCAGCACATGACTTTCCATTGCCAGAATATCCATCATTGCAACGACAACTGTATGTTCCAGCAGTATTTAAGCATTCAGCTTTTGTATCACAATCGTTCAAAGTAACACATTCATTTATATCTGAAGAAGAATGGTTTATATACCGGTGAGCTTATTTTGAAGTTTTCAGCTCATTCAAAATAAACAAGAATCCTTATTTTAAAACAATATATCGCCAATCAAAGTTTTTTTATCGTTTTGTAAATATTTGCTCATGTGAAAATAATGGTAATTTGAATTCTGTGTCTATGAGTTTCCTATTTTTAAATTAAAATGCTGCTATCTTTGATAACATACCTGTACAAGTAAATCCATCACCGGTAAAACCATCGAAACAAGCACATGTAAAACCTCCATCATTGTCATTACATTGGCCATTGTTGCTACAGTTGTGCGTTCCACTAGTGCATTCATTAATATCTATGAGCATAATGTAAACTTGTAAATGACCTAAAGATTATGCTATGAAATATATAAATTCATTAAAGAATTGTCACAAATTTATCATATTAGTTTCGAGTATTAAGTATTAGGGCAACATCAATAAGCACAGGAAATTAAAGCCAGAATTGGAATGAAATAAAAAAAAAATTGAAAAACTAAAAAGTTGACTTTGTTATTTATATCATTTCAACAAGAGATAAAATGTGGGGTACAAATCAAATGCTTTTACATGCATTGCCAACTCAACTAAAAACTGTAAAATCTAATTGACAAATGCCTAATTAATCTTATTGTGGTTATACTCAGATGTTTAGTTCTAAATGGGAAAAAAAATTTGATGCTATTTCATATTATTCATATTATAAGTCATACTAACTTGTGCAAACCGTCCCGTTTCCAGTAAATCCTGGTTTGCAAACACATGCATATGATCCAATAGTGTTCTGACATTGTGATTCTGCTGGGCAGTCATTTGCGCCAGCACACTCATCAACATCTTGAATGTAAAATTTTATTTATGTTTGTTTTGCCATAATTACTGTGATCAAATTATGAATTTTATTATTTTAACATGCTCACTTTTAAATCAGCATTGGGTAGATTCCAAATTCATCAAATCGAAATTATGCAATAAGAACGTTCAAGTTAAAGGGACATATCAAGACATCAAAACTGCCCGAGCAGCAAAACTTTTATAATATTTTAAAAATATTTCAAGGAATTACGGTACCTGTTATACAATCTGGGACTGATGCAACATCACTTTCACAAGCTCTATTGACTGTTTTTAAATTTATTGTGTATTTGTTGCCACTTGTCAAATTACAAATTTCAGCACTCCTGTCAGCAAATGACACTGTTACTATTGCAAACTGATTTTCAACTGCTGATGCCACATACGATGTTGCAGATACAGCTTCATTCCATGTCACTGTTATGCATTCTGAAGTTTTTGGTTTACAAGCAAGGTTGGCTGCAGCTGGTGGACCTAAGCAATTCAGTAAGAATGTGTACATATATATTCTGATGCAATTCATAACATATGTGCGTTTGGTTCATACAGCAATATAATTTTTTCAGTAGCAGTGGAATATAAAAAAAATGGTATTGCTATTTAATTGTCTGTTAATCATTATTTAGACAGTTTTATAAAAACTTGATTATTTATTCATCATATTCATTAACAGTGCAGTGGTTGTTAAACTAGTTATGGAGAAATTGTATACTTACAAGTAAATTGAGGTACATCAAAAAGCAATTTATCTTCGATCGACACTTTCAATCTATATTCGATTCCAGGAGTTAGTGATGTAAATGCAGTTGATGGCTGGGTCTACATGGAAACATTTCATCAATACAGTTATTGTTACAAACTAACTAGTAGTTAGCTTCAGCGGTTGAAAGGTAAATATGATGAAGGCATAGAGAACAATGATAACAGAACCCATATAATTATGCCGTATACCAGAATTTTCTGCTTAGCAATGTTAAAATACGGTAATTTTTTGAAATATACTTCAACAATGTTGAAATGAGCTATTTATTAAATACAATGATACCTCGGTAGACTAGGTACTCAGAACTCGAACAGTTCAGTAGTTAACCAAAAAATTCGAGTCAAAAATGCTGCAACGCAAACAGAAACACCCGAGCCGAAACAAGCATGCGGCCGAGTAAGATGACATCATCTCAACATTTCCAAACTGCACATTTCGGCTCCATTCGATCATTCAACAAGAATCAGTTCAAGTCAGAACATTAGCATGATAACACATGTTGAGAATTTTTTGTGATTTAGTGCTTTTTCTTGCCTTTTTTGTCATCGATCATGGCTCCAAGGAAAAGAAGTGATAAAAGGAAGGAGAAGAGGAAAACAGTAAGAACAACTATTGAGTTGAAAAAAGAAATTATTGCAAAATATGAGAATGATGGTCGAGTGTCGATCTCACCTTACACTATGGCATGGTAAAGTCTACCATTTCCATGATTTTGAAAAATGAGGAAATGATAAAGAAAGATAATGTTGTGCAGGGGGTGACAGCAATTATTGTTGTTTAGGTACACATTCTATTAATATTTTGGCTATTTTGGAATGTGTAAAACGTATTAAAGTGATTACTAATGTTTCATATTGCAAAAAAGTTACGGTACCTAAACAAATATGTAGTTGGACACCTGAACGAATTACGTTTGACTACTGAGGCACCACTGTAAATGCCAAACTCGCACGCATAAAAAGTTTAATAATGCTACTTCAAGGATGTCTCAACTGCAAAATTTATAAATAAAACACGGTATCTCACTTCAATGTATGTTGAGCCAGATGAGCTTGATATTGTGTAGCTAGTCGCATCTTTGTACGAATCCCATGAGAAACTTATCGAGTCGTTGGTAACCAATGTCACAGTCCATATTTCTAGTTGATAAGAAGGATAAAATACAAAAAAGCAATTGTAAATGGACATAAAGATGATGACAATTAGTGAACAATTTGCTTTCTACAAGAACCAAAATATTGTGTAATACCGGTTAATTATCAAAAATTTGTGGATTTTGAAATGCAGAATATAATATTTCATGCTTGCACTGGGCAATTAATGCTCCTCAATTAAACAACATTTTAATCCACTATTTTATGATTTATGGCATGAAAAAGACAAGAAAATGTTTCACATGTGGAATGTGGAGGGGAGTGAAGATCACTGATTATTCTAAGTAATTTAACAGTCTTGCTTCATAAAGTACACATATCTATAAGTAAAGTTTCATCTGGCTAAGGTCAGACTCCTCATAAAAAGTGTGACTTTTGTCATACAAAACGTTACTAAAATAAATTTTTGAACTAAAAAATGATGAGCAGAATATTCTCATTTTCGAAGTAAAATATCATATAAAATGTAGGAGACAATTTACTTGAAGATATAGAAGATGAGAACGGCGACATTTTGGTAGTTTTATAAGCAGCAGACACATTATACTCTGTTGTTGCAGGATTCACTGCTGCAATAAATGTATCACTTGCATCAGTGTTTTGTTCCTGTGACCCGCCTGATGACATGTATTTGATAACATAACTAGTACTGATAGCTGGCAATATGTTCACATTATCATGCTCAAAATTAAACCCATCCTTGGTAACATTGTAGATTGCTATTCCGGACACAGTTTCCGGACCTGAAAATATATATTTTCTTTTAATTATTTTTAAATAGGCATGGTTCGATATGAATAAATCAAACAGCCAAAATTATTCTAGATTTCAAAATTGAATATGCAAAATACCATTAAATACTATTTGTTGTACTTTTTATAAATCAACAAGGTTATTGTACTGGTATAATGATTCAAGCAAACTAGTAACTATTTGATCTATGTGACTTAAAAACTCCAAAATATACATTATTAGTATTAAGTATTAAATACATTCTGAAATTTGACTATTGTTAGAATCCATTCAAATTATATCTAGATATTACCAGATGGTTATGTACCTGTGGTAGCTGAGATAGTAGACTCTGTGCTATTAGCTGATCCGACAGTTGCAATGGCTCCTATGGTATATGATGTGTTGGCCATCAGACCATCAATCTCTTTACTGAAAGTTCCATTTACTTCACTATCAGCAGTGAGTGTGAAATCAAATTCAGGATTATTTTTAATTGAAATGTAGTAAGTTTCTGCAGTTTTTACTTTGTCAAACTTGATAATGATGACAGTTCCAGTCAAAACAGTAGCCATAAGATTTGCTGGTCCTTCTGATTCTGTTTTAAATTTAGTAAAAAAATAAAATTTTATATGTGATATAAAATAACGTAATTTCACAATATGTGTTTTACAGTATACAACAAGCAAGTATAACTGAATTGTTTGACTAAATTCCCTAAATAAATGACAAAATTGTTCTCGATTTTAAAACTGAATTCGTTTCATTTTGATTTAAAAAATTGCGACATAAATTACTTTTTAGATCTTGCACAACTTGGTATGATATGTACATATGAATAACTGTATGTATGAATGTGATTGTGACATGTATTTTATTTATTTATTATTTCATATTGTGCATCGTTTATTTCCTGACGTAAAAAAATATCTGAGTCTGAATCTATTTAACTTTACTGAAATTAAAGCTTTGCATGCCTCATTATAACCAATTCGAAGAAAAATATTCACATACTTGTATTAAAAACTATTTCAGCACTGCTGTTGGAGAATCTGTAAGCAGTACCATTTTTGACGACGGCACGAACAGAAGCTACAATAGGAGTGTTTGCAGGTAGTGCAGATACCGTAAAGCTTGTATCATTCGTACTGTATGTCTGATTTGAACCGCTATATTTTACTGAAAAGAATAAAATTTGTAGTTCATAAATCATGATTTTATATAACAAATCACTCATATATTCTAAAGGAAACAATATAAGATAAATTTTTTAATTATATATGCATATTTCAAGTAGATTGTTCACTGAAATCTTGTTTTATTTTATAAAACCAAATATTAAAAAAAATGCTGGACTGAGTGAAATGAATGAAAGAGCCTGGGTGGTAAACAAGGTTTTATTTGCAAGGTACACATAAAAATATTTGGAAGATGAAATATTGCAGAAAAAAGGGAAGCATAATTCAATAGCATTAATATGAATGCTAAGTTATCTAAATATTAGATTGTGTAAAAAACACTTTCTGTACACACCGAAAACTTGGTATTCAAAAGCATTTTCAACTGGAGACCATTGAATTGAGAATTGTGAAGTAGTAACATCTGTAACCGTAACATTTTCTGGAGGAGGAGGATTGGATTCTTTTGGTACTGAAAAAAAAAATGAGGAAATAACATTTATGTAATTCGTTATGCCAGGTGAGCCGCAACTGACTTTCTCACATGAGATTTGTGTGTTTGCATTTTGTGAGCAGTTGGTTCAATCCAGCCCGGTAACCTAATTTCCTAACTATTCAGTATACTATTGGTACATATTCTGAAATGAAAATGCTATGAAAATTTGCTAGCAGTGAACTGAGATACACACCTTTGGGTGAAGAGAACATTCAATTGTGGGAAAAAGTGATACCAAAAAATATGGAAATCTTATACCCATGCTGAGAAATGGTTACCGGTAAGTTTTCTTGTGCTAAAAGTATGGGAAAATTTCATCGAACATCATAGAGCATCTAATTCCTCAGCTATAACTACTTGTTATCACTTAGTTGTTTTCCCAATAAAAATCTAGGATAAACAGCCAAATTAAAGTTCGAGCACTAAATTTACATATTTTTTATCAGGTTGGTTGTTAAAGCTTTTGCAAGATAATGATACCTATTGTGCCACTGTATTGCTTAGCAACTTACACACTGTCACTGATAAATTTGAATTGTCGGAAATAGCGTTCTCGAGTGTTTGATTTGCTGTGTTGTTTGTTTTCACGTCCATCAATGCTTGAACACTTCCTGGGCTGCAAAATAACAATGCTAATTTTGATTATAAAATCCTAGGTCTAACATTTTTTAAAACCTGCTGCAACACTTCCATGGTATGGATTTCTATATAATAGAGTCAATCGGACAACAGTATTATTTTTCTTTCAATATCTTTAGTATTACTAGTATTATACTTGTATATCTTGTAAACTCAAGCAAATATAGATCAACATATATATTATATAAAATTATGCACAAATTTTATCGAATGAACCAAAACCTTTTCATATTATTTTATAAACAAAATATAAACTATAATATAAGTAGCTTACTGCGCATTCATTTTTCAGCATAAAAGTTATGCTTGAAATTAACGAAGTAGCTGAAATGTGTTAGCACAGCTATATATATATAGTCAGTATAGTACTATTTGTCAATATTGATGTAAAGTTGCAAACAAGGTTTATATTACTATGTGAACCAACAAATAAATAAATCTATATCTGTGTAAGTGTCCTGTCACCATGACGATTTAATGTGAATATATGTAAAAATTTACTAAGGATACTTACAACAAATAATATACTTGGACAGAGATGATTATAGTAGAAGACTGCATCATGATGGTAGTGATGGAAGAAATGAAAGTAATAGATTCTTGGCTATTAATGTTATTGTAGGAAGATATAAATACTTGGTTAACACTGACACTTGCAGACTCTTCTGGATAATCTGAAAATTAAATAAAAAATTGTTGTTTGCAGAATAATGCAGCATAAATACTTAGTTATACTATACTATTAACACACTCCTGTGTCTTGATTAGCCTAGTGTGAACAAAACAATTCTATAAGCAGTTGAAATATTATCACGTTAAACAGTGTAACTTTTTCAGCATAATCATAACAGTTGCCTCCTATTATACAAAGTGTAGTAAAGCCGATTTCATACTATTTCTAACAATTTCAACAGGAAGAACGACTGAATCATAAATCAATAGTAATAGTTTCGTATTTTCCTGTTTCTAGAGGTGGACTACTTTACAATTTCACATACACAGTGTATTTCAACCCCTTTGAGCCATAATCATATCTTTATATATGTTGATTTTATCATTCATTACTCACCTGTGGTGATATATAGAATTGGGCTGTAATCGGGAGTAACTTCAAAACCATTTTGTAGAACCCGAACCCTAGCACGAACTTCGTATTCAGTTCCGGATTCCAAATTATCAATGTCAACAACCATGGATGATTCAGAATCTACGAAGTTGAATGTGATGCCAGAGTCTCCTGATCCAACTCTTCTCACTTGGATCTGAAATATATTTTTGAAAATTATGTCTTGCAGCCTTTTACACGCTTATATCTACCAACGAAATTCCACTGAAGAATGGTCAAATTTGATTTTTATACTGAGTTGTACTAGAGTACGTAATAAGAAAAAATTTATCAAGAAAATATTGCAAGGTAAAATATGCTCTCAATATCTAGGAATTGATCTGTTATTTATATACAATGTTGTTTAACACGATTTCTTTTGAAAATACAAAGACTGTATGCTATTCTTCATCCTAAGGCATAAAGGATCTTTGTTATCCTAATTGTACAAGCCTACTTGTAATAAGATTTGTTCAAAGAGATAGTCTCACCTCGTAATTTTTATGTCTCCTTTCCGAAATGAGTTCCACTTTTGCGATACTTTCAGCTACGGAAATCTCATTTGGTGCAGGCAATACCTCAATTTCTAAATTATAAATAATGATTTATTAAAGTATTAGGGAACACAAAAAAATTAAAATCAAAGTATATACTTCCATTACTAAGAATTCCCTAAAATATTAGATATGATTAATACAATTGTTTTGTTCACCATACACACGCATGGTTCAAGCTCAGATATAGATTTTATGACAAAAAGTTTAAAGTTAGCTTAGAGCTGGAAAAACGTTTTACTTTGTCTTCAAATTAAGATAGGATTAACATGTCTATCCCTGCGAGAGGAAAGTTATAAGACGGGTTGATCATATCGCGAACCACGGATTTTATCAGTTACCGGTTAATGTCGGGTATGAGATTAGTTTGTCAGTTATTTGTTTCCGATGCTGGACTTGAATTAAAAATATTTACACACAATACGACCTAGGAATATAGAATTTGTGATTACTATGAAAACCGTGTTTGTTGAATTACCTTACATTTACGTGTATCTTAAAATAAGATACCCAGAGTATGAAACAGATAGACATTGACAGGGGACAACCTTAGTAGAACATACGGTTATACAATTCATTAATTTATATCAATATGTTCAAAAATAAAACTCTATTTAAGTTTAACTCGAATTTAAGCATTATTAATTTTCAACATTGTTATATAAATAAAATAAGTACCTTGGCAGTTCTTCCCGTCTCCGGCATGATTTTCAGCACACGAGCACGTAAATGTGCCCGGTTGGTTTGTACAAACACCTCGAGGGACCGGACTGCAATCATCAGTTCCAAGATCGCATTCATTAATATCTGTAAGGTAAATAACCAGATCAAACTTCATCATATACAAAATGCACCAACATCAGTATTTGTATCCAGAGAAAGCTATATATCTTCACAAGCAGACGCCAACCCGATGAGAAATATCTTTGTGTTGACATAGTACCTAATTAAAATACGCTTACCTTCACAATCAACACCGTTTCCTGAAAACCCTGTTTTGCATTTACAAGTGAATGAACCTTCAGTATCCGTGCAATCAGCATTTGCATTGCAGTTGTCTGTCCCGGCATCGCACTCGTTGATGTCTTGAAAACAGAATTATATATATGTGACAAATGTGCTTATGGAGATGGAGAAAATTCAAAAAATTTTAAAATATTTGAACTAAAGAATAAAAAGACGTTGTACCTGATAGAAATATTGGCAGGGAAAATTTCACGTTCAGAAAATTGCGTTTTAATAAATTCTATGTTTCAATAATTTGTATTGTTTTGCGTGTCTCAAAAACATTGTGTCCCACTTGTCCTAAATGTATGAATCTCACTTCATGTGCTTATCCTAACCTTCTGAGCTAAGCAAATCATCTATCCTTACCCAGAACAAACAACTGAAATGTTTCATTAGTCATGTACCGCACAATATATCGAACGTAACTCGGAAACGTTGAAGATGTGTTGGACGTGTGTGGAACAAATCAGGCTTACGTGGGACAAACGCGGCAAAGCGGGACATGACATTTTTGAGACAACAATTTCAATGTTTGCCGTTCCGACAAAAGCTACCACAATGAGAAATAATATATTTATATTACTTGTACATGTCGTAGTTCCATCACCAGTGTATCCAGCTTTACAAGCGCAGGAAAATGATCCAGGAATGTTTGAACAAATTGCGTTTTCATGACAGTTATTAGTTTCTGGAGAAGCACATTCATCAACATCTGTTTGAAACAGAAATTATAAAAATCAGTATGACGCGTTTTGTTCGTTAATCAATGTCGAAATCATTTTAAAAATTGAATGTTGATTTGTTTATGTTTAAAGTATTTCACCAAATGACGATTACCTATAACTCTTACCTTCACAAGATATTCCATCTCCATTAAATCCAGATTTGCAAGCACATGTAAATGAACCATCCTTGTTGGAACAATCAGCATTTGTGTTGCAGTTATTACTACCATCGGTACATTCGTTGATATCTGAATTCAAAACCAAATAACAAAAAGTGATATATAAAATAACTAATATGAAAGACCCTGATAATACAGGTAACACAATAGTAGCTCTGGGCTTAATAATGCCGGCACAGAGATTTATTTATAGTGACAGAAACGATGTGGGTTCGGGGCCCAAGAAAGACATTATCATGATAAACGGCAACCCATGAGCGAGTGGGGAGAAAGCTTAGACAGCAGATACAGATTGTTTATGTGTAATAGATAACTACACCGATATATACTCCATTGGTGCCATGCTGAAGCTCTGACATTTGAAACAAATTGTGTAGGTTATTTTACAAGCGTCTGTGCTTTCAGAGTTTCGATTCATTCTATAGATATTTATGATATTTGTGATTTATATTTCACACTCCCCCGTGCACTACAATGCATGATCATGAGTTTTGTCCCGTTATTTTTATATATATATATTTCTTATTTTGATAGGATGGATAGAATTATGCTGTTGTCATTTAGTTAGACCGTGTTTTTGGTGTGTGCGATTTTAATTGTTTCAAAGAAATTACCTGAACACGATTTCCCGCCACCAGTAAATCCCGGTTTACAAGCACAAGAAAATCCTCCAGGATTATTTGTGCATATTGCATTGCTGTCACAATCGTTTGATCCACTTGTGCATTCATCCATATCTAAACATAGTGCATAGTTTTTATATATATGACAACTTAACAAACCACCTCCACATCCAATCATTTTATTTTTCAGGAATGTAACAGTAGTCTATGTAGTAAACAGTGTATTGTTATTATTACTGACATTGAATTCAGTCGAAGTCACCACTATCAGAAAAGCAACAAAACGAAGAGGAATTTTGAAATTTCAATAGTTTTTGTGTACTGATATTCTAATATTGTATTGATATAGTCCTAGTTCGTATCAGTTTGGTGTAAACAGATCTATTCCATTACAAAACAAAATCATGAGTTTTCGCCTCCAGTTCAACCTGGAGTCTTTAGAAAATCGCGACTTGAAGTTACATGCATATATTCTACAACAACGTACAATTTAAAGTTATTCTACCGGCATTTTTTCATGGGGAACGATAAACCTATACAGGCATATCAAGAAATGCAGTCGTGTATAAAATAAGCCAGTGGTTTTCAACCTTTCCGGTCGAGCGGAATCCCAAATAAAACATTCCAGAGTATCGAGTGACCCCTGTGCGATAGTTCAATTGTCTTTTATTTTCTGAATTATATAAACTATAAGCTGAGCGTTAGGAATACGCTTGCCGTCGCATTTACGACAACCCTGCGGGGGTTCGCAGGTTCGAATCCCGTGGGTGATAAATATGGGCGAGTGGATTGCTAGACTCCTCATCACCGCTAGTCGGCTACGGCTCCTTTGACCATCACGTCCGTGCATCTGGAACAAATAACTGGCTACCCCATCCTTTACCTGAAATGGATCGGTAACCGGGCGAGATGCCACGGTGCGCCATATGATTGAAGCCGTCATATAGGCTTTCCTCTCCCAGAAAAAATAATATCTTAATTTTATACGCGAAAGCGAATCTAATACTGGCAAAAAGTAATAATAGTAGTAGCAAACCTGATTGGTATCTGAAATTAATTAATATAAATTCTCAGACTTGAATGGAAACTTACGGATGCCCTTTACTGTGCTGGCGGAACCCTACCGTATTAGTAGGTACGTTCGTATTAGATTAGACAGTGAGAATCCCAAGTCTCGATGTCATCATGCACCATTCAATACGTATAAATGTATAAAATAATAGTATATTAGGTACGGATTGAATTTTTACAACAACTGTACAAGGAAACAATATTGCTAGACGTATATATTATCTTCACACTATTTGGAAATGATGAGATATAGCATATTGTTTATTTTTAGCAGGCATAAGTTGCCTAATACTGGGATTTCTGTTACTATTATTGATCTTTGATTTTATTGAGCATACCAACACAAGACGACCCATCTCCAGAGTATCCAGCTTGACAAGTGCAGGTGAACGATCCGTTGTTGTTGGCGCATGTTGCCTTTTCGTCACAACTAGATGCATCTGAGCATTCATCAATATCTAACAATAACAAAAACATTATAATATATATGTACACAATTTATATTTGAGATAAAAAAAAAAACTTTGCGGCACAACTGCCGCCAGTGAAGTGAATCATTACCGTACTTATATTACTTAATTATGGAAAGGAACAGGCATGTGTGGATGACCTTTCTCCAAACAAATGATCGGATAGAAACAATATAGTAAACATTTTCTAACAAACAAATCATATATATGTATAAAAATCTTAGATGGGCGTTAGTTTTTGTATTGATAGCATAAATAATATTAATTATTGAGAAACGTAAAAATGTTTTATTAAATAAACATATCACGAAACGACCGGTGATGACATGGCCCCATTACATAATATTCCTTTAATTTAAACACTCACCGACACAGGAGGATCCATCTCCTGTAAATCCGGTGTTACATACACATGTGCCCGATCCCGCAACGTTTACACAAACTGCGTCGCTATGGCAAGGGCTGGAAGCATCACATAAATCTATGTCTATGAAGAAAATGGTAATTCTTTTGGGTAAACTATTGAATGCAATTATTTGTTTTGTGGCGTGTTTGATATAAACGGGTATATATAATTAACTTTTCACTTTCTAGTTGATCGATAAATGAAAATAATTAGGAACACTGGCATTTGATGCTAATATTTCATTGTGAAAATTGCTTGAATCTAACAGCATCTATTTTAACAATACCCAAATTTGATGAACGTTACATTATCGTACGGTTCACGAGGGTCATTGCACAATTTTACTCTAGCAATACGATTGGAATAATACAAGTACCGGTACAATTTTTTCCATCTCCGGTATATCCACTTAAGCAAGTGCAGGTGAAGGATCCATTATTGTTTGAACACGATGATTGATTGTGGCAATCATGCGTGTTGAGTGAGCATTCATCTATATCTGAAACGTAAAAAAAATCATACATGTTATTACTGACATTTCAGTGTGTATCGAATAAATTGTCAGGTGATGCACTCATATATTTTGTGCCACGTGCCATTTGCCTGAATTTAAATATATATATATATTCATTTTAAATTTTTGTGCAATTTTTCAGAATTCAAACAGTATGAAATTCTGTTGTCCAATCTAATTGATATTGATGAAAATCGCGTATCGCTGAGTGGTCAAGCGGAAGTGCCTTTTGAAGAGTTGAAGGGTTCCGCAGTAAATAATGTTTGGCTTTTCACAATGCAACGCTGATAGCCGGGAAGTGTGATAACTTCTGATTTATGCCATATTCTATCGTACCTATTCTACTCCGAGTTTGTTCTCTAAGTTATAAAAATAGCAATTCAGTCATCACCCAGGGAAGGTTCCAGATACTACGTTGAAAAGCAACGGTTAAATTTCTGTCGGATATAAGTATTTTGGTCGTTGTGTTTTAACAAGTTTTTTCTAAAAAATTTACAATTAATTGCCTTCTATCAATAGAGTTTTATTCATATTTTGTGGAAATTCTGGCGAAAAGTAATCCTTCAGCTTCGTTTTTTAAAAATGTGATGTAAATCGTATATATATGCAAATATTTACATGTGTACTGCAAAAGCTCGGATAAAATCTGATTAAGGGTAGATTTTTCGTTATAATTACCCACTCAAATTATTTTTCTTTGTCAATTTTATACATATTTTCATAAATTTTTTTGAATAACAATGATCAAATTTTAAGACTTCTCGTACCAGCGCAGGTAACGCCACTTCCAGTGTATCCCGTTTTACATGCACATGTGAAGGATCCCTCTATATTTTGACAAGAAGCATTCGCATCACAGTTATTGCTTGCAGTATTTTCGCATTCATCAACATCTAAAAGTAGATGAGGCTATTGACAAAAATAAAACTTGGTACTGCGAGAAAGAAGCGTTAAAGTTTATGATAATGTCACCGTAAACTCGGCAAGGTAATATTTGGAAGCGACTTGCGGTCGAATACATACCTTGAATTTGATTCACTGCAAAACTTCCAATAGTTGAGTCTGAACTTGTAGCTTTTGTAGCAGTTACAACTTGTTGTGAACTGGCTGTTGTGCCTTCGACTGTTACTTCAAATTCTGCAATGACGCTGCCAGATTTTAAATTACGAACATTGCTTTTGATGCTCGAATAAGAATACCCTCTGCTGTCCATTTCAGCCTTAGTCTCAGCGTCAATCTGAAATTAGGAATTAGGAAATTTGTCTCGTTTTTTTTGTATAACCTAATTAAAATTTCACCATCTGCAGACCGTAATTTAATATTGTTCCAATAAAAAGGTTTAATCCGTGAAAGGAATTTAAATGCATATATTTCAATAAGTTCTAGTTGAGTTAAATTTAAAATATTGAAAACGAAAAAATGTTCATTATTATTCCATCTTATAGACAAAAGTTTAGCAATGATTGAATCTTGTATAATAGCCCAAATAAAACAGTAGCATACGGCCTCTTCCAAGGAATCTTTTAATGAGATATATTCTGTCGATGTTTTGATATTTAATCTTTCGTTGAACGTCTCTCCCGTTAAAGTTACAGATAAAAATACCGCCACTGTTTCTCCATCACCACTCTGTCCAATAACTGAAATAAAGCATATTTATTTTAAGTGAACGTTTAATCACATCAAGTCAAAACCTTGATAATTTACGGATAATACGTGCTTCATATAAGCCAGTGATTCTCAACCTCTTTTCATTCGTGGGCCATTATTGTTGCCCAAAAATTCTTGTGGCCCATTAACTTTTCATTGCTAAGGAAACAAAATAAAATTTTTCTGCAAAAACGAACACTTCAACTTTAATATTTAAAATGAAAATTACCACTCAATAGCAGAAAACAGCATCATGCATTGGTGATACAATCAAAATTAACGATATAACGATGGCTCACTGGCTGAAAACCAGTAATCTAAGCTCTGTGCCTCATAAATAACGTGTCCCAATTGTCATCCCCGACCCATTCTATTTTCAGGTATAGGTAAATTTTGCAGAGAATGGTTGAATAAGCATATGAAATGGAGTCATTTTCCTCTAAAATTTGCAGAGTCTCTGAAACTCCTCAAACTGGTATATAAATATCGATAATTACCAAACTACTCAGTCCATCGGACTTGGTCTTAGAGAACAGCCGTCCCTCATTTTTAAATAGGGAGTTTTGGATTGTTGAGCAAAATTATTGTCGGGGTTGTTGTTGTTGTGAGAAAACCGCCGTTATCAGCAAATAAAGCTGATTGTTTTAAATTTTCATTACTCGAAAGCTGTTGAAGACGCTAGAAGAGTATTATCATTTTTTTTTTCAAATTACTCCTATGGGGCCCGTTATTTCGCCCAAATTTTGCTGTTCAATTCATTGGAACATCTTTATATCATACACAGGGATATTTTTATATGGACTTTAACTCCAAATGCCCTTTTATTTGAACATTGGTCGCCTGATAAAACAATTGTCCTTGATTTTATGCCCAAGTAATAAAGGCAACTTCGTCCTCAAATTCGAAATCAAGTAATCTTATATAATGAATTAAGAGATGAATTCGATTAGGATTTCCAAACAAATAACATATAGCTAGAAGTTCTTAACGTACTACGGAGAATGCACCATCTTGTAAAATCATACCGTGCAACACCAACAATGCGGTATCATTCCTTGAACTTGCTGAATAGCAAATATTCCGACCCGCGCAGAGAAACGTTTCAGATCGCCAGTTCGCTAAGCAAAATCGAGTTTACCTTTAATTGTTGTGAATGTTGTGTTGGGCGTACGTTTTATTATTGGGCACGAAGTGGACCCATGGACTGATTTGTCATTTGTGTGACGGTAGTTATCGAAGTATCTATATTTAATTTCGCTTCTTTTGGTGAATCTCAGTATACCGTAATTACAGATATCAATGAAATTTGTTATTGTGCGGTGTCATCACGAACGCTATATTGAAATATGAGAGAGGTTCTAACAATGCCCTGATGCAATTCACCATGAAATTTCACCACACAATAATGTACGCTTAGGCAAACATGCTCAAAAGGCTGTGACGTTTAGTATACAATTTTCTGCAAATCGCAATGTTATAGTATCGGGGTTAGAATATTCGAGACTTGAAAATCTTTCCATCTGTGGGTAGGAACTGATGAATTTTTCGCATCAATTTTTTAAATCGTCACTGACACAGTAATCTTCGGTGCATTTGGGAATGAATTTAAAATAAAATGATCCGTTTTAGAGTGCAAACAACGACATACTGATCAAGCAGTAACTATTTTGAGGAAGAAATTGTTCAGTGCTGTCAAAACTGATCAACAACATTTTATTAATTGGGTTAATTTGATATCGAAATAAAATTACCATTTAGTTCAGGCTTCTACCTCAGTGCTCTCTCATGAATAAATTCGAAATCTTTCCTGTAAGTCCATTAATAAAAGTTTGGGCGGCTATGGCCTATATTTTGATGCTGGAGACTGCGTGTCCAATATCAGAATGCGACACAAAAAATAGCCTGTTACTGCGTGTTTTTTGAATAAGCAATACTCTAAAAACAGTATATTGTTTTTTCTTCGATTGTCGAGAAGTATATTTTTAATTCACATTTCATTTAATTAAAATAACCAGACTGAAACATGTAACTGTCAAAACCTCTCACGTATGTATGTTTTGTGATTTACTGTAATCATCGTATGCCCTTGTGATGTCATGTCTGGAGCAATAGACAATGATGAGTTGGATTTAATCATATATTAACAGTCGTCAAGTAACTGATAATGAAACTTGAGAATCACCATGAATCAACTCTGCTCGAATATTTAAACAATTTACAGAATACTTTTCAGAATTTCAAGTAAATGTAAATATATTTCATCCTCGCATCCATCAACAACATCTAGATTAGTTTTTCACAGACGCTGGTCTAATATGTTCCCCTTTCCCCAAATGTGGGTGTGAAAATATACCTATTCACACAAGCCACACATGTACTTTAAATATCAAATTGCCACCGTCAATTCTCGTGTGTTTCCGGGATATTTATCACGATATTTAAACGAACGAACGTTTACTAAATCCTACGTCACTTTCACGGTTGGAAAAACATGACGTGAAAGCCACCACTCCTTATACATCCGTCATAATTATATATTTACCTGGGGCTATAAAAAGGGTATACAATTTAACATAATCCCCCAAAATTGTGTTGAATTGTGTATGCTCAAAATGATGCCCAAATACGTGTTTGTTAGTTCTGTTGTTACAGAAATCACAAATACGGTAAATTTAATTCGTGTTTTATGGAAAATTTAAACATAATAAAAAACAAAATTTAGTCAAAGACACGTTAATCTAAATTAAACGTTTAACAAGTTTATCATTGAAAAAATCCTACTCAATTTTTCAGTAATTGAACTTGAAGTTTATATCGATTATATTTAATAAATTTAACTGTACTAAACCTTATTACAAGAGCAAAGAAATCATAGTGATGCCATATTGCCAGTATTGGAAAGATAAAATCTGTTCAAATATGATGAAATACAAAATAGTATTATAGGCTTGCGTAGTAAAATCTAGCGGTTCTAATATTTCTTGAATATATTCACTACTCGTGGTTTATTGTTTTTATTACATATATAAAAATGATATAAAAAATCCTTGACTATTCGATCATGAAAATTTAAATATTTGGGTATAATAAATTCAGGGTGTCGAAAAAACAAAATTGACTTAAGGTACATGCTTATCCGTTACACGGAATTAGACGAATGCTTTATATTGTGGTCGAAATTTTTTTTAATTCATTAATTATTTTCTGTAATAAACTGAATAATATCATTTCTCATTATGATAACTATGCGTGGGTTACTGCAGCGTCAAATCATTCAGTCACTTCAGTCAACCCTAATCTTTGTAAATTGTTTTGACATTTGAAAATGACCATGCAAAAATGTCCGAAAAGTCCAAATAATTCCGATTTCTGTGAGCACAGTATGGGCCCTTTTTAATCGGTGGAACATTAGTTCAGGAGCACACGATTAATGTTAAATATACTCCAATGTAATCACGTTGAACTCAATTCGAAGGCAGGAGTTGAAAAAATGGGTTGTGGTTTTTATGGGTGATTACCTGAAGTGTACAATCTATACATTTATCTATCTGTGTTTCATTTGGAAAGAAAATAAAGTCTGAACTGCTACTGAGCTTTCGATTCATTATTTCATCTAATGATACATTTTATTGTGGAAAATATACACAAAACGTGATGAATAATTAGGAAGTTCAAAACTTGTCGATTTTAAATCTATATTTCAATTATTTCTGTTTAACTATCAGAATATACTTTCAACTGGTAATAATATATATTGGATAATGAAAAAATTGCGCACCGCCGCTTGTTGTAATACAAATCGATTACATAATTATATTAAACGAGGAAAAAAAAATTATTTGTTAGTACAATTTTTGGTGCTCCCGAAGTATGCTCACCAAAATGTCGCACAACCTGATACCCCTAACCTGGTATACATACTATGTTCAGGTTGTACGCCATACTTCGGGAGCACCAAAAATTGTACTAACAATAATTTTTTTTTTCCTCGTTTAATATAATTATGTAATCGATTTGTATTACAACAAACGGCGGTGCGCCTTTTAATGCAAATTGGAATACATCAGATTCGATTTACAGATTCGATCTGTGTCTTTTCAGTAAACTAAATCAGTTTTTCTGAATGTAAAATAATGTTACTGAGTTTTATTAAAAGTTTAGCGTTTCATAAATTGTTTTGAAGCGTTGTCATAACAGGTTCGATGACAATTTGTGAATGTGTGAAAAACCTATTGGATTACTTTGTTCTAAAAAAATATGATCTCTTTTCGTTTATTTATAGCCCGGAATCGAGGTCCACACGCAATTTTGATTTGGTCTATTCAACCCAAATCAATGGTTCCGTTTGGAAACGAATTTGTATTATTGTCTATATTTGGTTGCATACGATGGAATACTCGTATTCTGTTTTTTGTTATATATAATTTTTGGTAAATTATATATTTTTTTTATATGTTATGAAATGACCCATAAAGATTAACAGTTGACTTACGTGCGCTACTTGTGACACGCCCAAAAATAAACAACAAAACTGTAGAATAATAGGATCCTGAAATTCTTGGAATGACAACCTTCTGTACGACATGTTTATATGAGATTGCATTTTCAAATATATATTAGCTTTGGGGAATGTAAACCCAATGTGGATACCAAAATTATCAAGTGAATTCACGAACCTGAAATAGTAAAAACATCTCCATGGAGCGTGGTCGCAGCCGATCATATGACTTATAGTATGAACAAGAAAACTATTGAACATCCATTAAATTGGTGTCACGTAAATAAATGCGGGCGAAAAGATATATAATAGGAAAATAACATGGGATATGTTGAATTTATTTTTAATCGAGTTTCACATATAAAAAACATACTATTATAGAACAATACTCTTCGGTTGAAACAAACAGATTTTTCACCAAATACAGTATATACATACCACCACTTGCATGCATCAAATGACGGAGGAATTGTAAATTTTGAAAAATATTCG